AGAGAGAGGGAGAGGGAGAGAGAGAGAGCGCAAGTGTTATCGATCCGTTGTGACGTTAGCGTGACTAACGAAGTCTGCGTTTCAGAGCCAATCCGATGTTGCTCCGCCTTTTTAACTCAGTGCTCATTTTTGGGGCACTCGGGATTTTTTTTTTTTTTTTTTTTTTTTTTTTTCCACAACTGCACGATTGCCTCGCTCCATTTGCCAGCAATGTCGTCAACCGGATTTGACCCACAAAATTGGTTCCCAAGTTGTCATCCGCGCGAGGCGCCGAGTGGCTCGCGACCATTTGGAAAATATGGCCGCCTGAGCGGATGCAAAGCCGGCACATCTTCCGCCGAATGAAGACGTTAAGTCATCGGTGTGACAAAGTCTTACCGACAAAAAGGATTCTGGGAACATACTGGCCGTCCGGGGAGAGATGTTTGTCGGTGGTTTCATACTGCGGACAAAAACACAACAAGGTTCCACACTTGGTGAGCAGACTCGGGCGAGAACCGTCCGGTCATACGATGGCTCCTCGGAAGGATGAAAAGGGCGTCGTCCGTTTCCGAGTCCCGATCGTTGGTCCGCCAAGGCTTTCCAAAGTCCCCGCCGCCGAGGGTGCAATGGCGACCCTCGGCTAAAGCGTGAAAAGGAATCCTCGTGACTCACGCCGTTAATGAAGAAAAAAAAATGGCGTCGCAATCATCGGCATGAACACGTGGCGGCGGCGCATCCGAGCTGCCTCGACGGACCGCGAGCGGTCCGACCCACACGAGCGGCTCACCTTTGAACTTCCGCTGCTGAAAACGGAGACGTCTGTCAGAAAACGAGACCTACCATGAGGTTGAGCAGGACAAAGTCCTCATCGAGGACTTTCTGGAGCTCATCGTCCTCGGCAAACACTTTCTTCAGTGCTGCGGGAAGAACAAGCAAACGGTTCAAACGGTCTCTTCAAACCTGTTCCAACAGGACTCGTTCTAAATAGGTGGGGGGGGGGGGGGGCGGCGGCCTCACGCTGACCCTGGGAGTGCGGGCAGTCCTCCAGGTGGAAGAGAACCATCAAGGGCTTGTTCCTTGAAAGGTCAACGAGTCGCGGTTAGGCCGGGCTTTCGGCGGTGCCGCCGGCACGCCGAGCCAGAGCGACGTTGCCCGCTTACCTGGACCTGGCCCAGTAGAGCGCTTGCTCATACGTCTGAGCCCAGATCAGCTGATCGCCCCATCCTGGAGGGAAATGAGCAGTGGGGGGAAAAAAAAACGCTTTCACTCGTCTTTTTGGGTATGTGTGTGTGGAGGGGGGACGGGCCACGCATCCTCACCGACCTCTGGACAGAGTTTGAGGGATCCTCTTGCCCGTCTTTGGCATGTATTTGCCCAAGGTCAAGGCGGCGGCGGCGACCAGCACCAAGAGGAGGGACGGGGAGATTTTGATCATCTTTGCCAGGTAGACGTTGGAAAAACTGCTTTTTAGTCCAAGACAAAAGCGACACGGACAGCAGGGAAGCGGCCATTTCAGTTGAAAACACACAAACATTTTCTCCTCTGCGGCCAGCAACGGCCCCCCTCTCGTCATTCAAGCCGTCAGACCTTCCAACTTTGCCTCTTGTTCAAACTCCATTCGTGCGGCTTGACGTTACTCGTGTAGCATTTTGACTTCTTTGCAATGTTTTGCTGCTTGTAGCTTTTAACCTGTGAACATTACAACTGCGTTTCTGAAATGACATTTTTCTTGGTGTCATTTTTTTTTCCCTTCTCCTTTTCCAACGGTTTCGGTCGAACTGCGGACACAAGCACCCTGCGTAAAATGAAAAGAAAAACGCCCAAACAAAAACGGCGCGGCGGCATCTTCCTTTTGGTGTTGTCGAGCTCCGGCGGCCCGCGGGCTTGTTCCGTTCCGTTCAGGGCCACTGCCGCAGCCGAGCGTCGCTGACAGAAGAGTCGACGACCGGAATATTCCAGCGCCTCATCATATTACGCACGACCTTCTTCATTTTTTTTTTTTTTAAGCGTATACTCGGGCGGCGCGGTAGTCAACCGGTTAGCCCATTGGGTTCCGTCCCTGGCCTTCCCGCGTGGGGTTTGCAGGTTCTCCCCGTGCCGGTTTTCCCCGGTTTCCGCTCCCCCCCCCCCCCAATAGTCCACATAAATGTCCAAAGTTTGGTGAAAAAGAGGCCTTTGAAAAGACGACGCAGACAGAGGCAGAGGGCGAGCGCGGCGCCGCCTGTGGAGAAGGGCCCGAGCCCTCTTACCTGTTCCCGGTCGCTGGGGTGAGAACGGCTCGGGATGGCTGTTGCGGGACGGACTGCTTCTCGACTCTTGCCCGCCGCGCCTTTAAACCGCCGTGCGCCCAGCGTCCCGCCCTCGAGCCGCCTCCTCCGAGGGCCAAGGGCACTCCTCTTTGCACGACGTCTGGGCTTACCAGCTCAAGCCGCTGCTCGTGTGACTAGAGCCTTTCTGAGCGCAAGAGGATTGGGGGTTGTGGGGGGGCATGAGATGGAATTCTCATCTTGGACATTCCGGTCAGATGATTCGAGTGAACCCTAAGCAGTCCAGAACAGTCGTGAAGTCAAATCGCACGCTTCACTCGTCGATGGCGACGTCGATATGACATCCTCAGGGGCGAGATCCATTCGTTGACGCGTCGGGCTCTCACGATTCGGTTCCTTCCGAGCCTTCTCGGCATCGCGCGGCGTCTCGCGGCCGTGGCTTTGCGCAACTCGCCTTCCAACAATAGCCATCATACGAAAGACTGGAGCTGCCGATGCGAAGTCAAAAATATTTAGACGGACAAAGACGTATTTTGACGTCTTTAAACATGTTCAAACGTACGGCTAAATGCGACAGATAGCATTTGGGGGGATGCCGCAGGTACCGTCTTTTTTTCCAAACCCTTTTTGGCCTACAATGTACCAATATGTTCAAAAGTGAAGTCGGTCAGCATTGTTGATTGGGATGTTTTTGTTTCCATTTTGCCTCCATGTCGGCAGCTCCACTCTTCCGTGCTAAAACATTGACATGAGTGCAAAATAGGAAGGCGCGTCTTGACCTGCTATACAGTCCGCTCTCACTTTGCCGAGGTGGCGGTGCCAGTCTCATTTCCTGTTGCGCTGCCTCTCTGTGTCCCTGCGGCGATCTGCTGTATCTTCGCCGTTCATCAACAAAAACACAGCCTTTGCGAATTGAAAATTGCATTCTCCTACACCGCAACGTGGATTTGAATTCAACCAACTGTTCGGCCCGATTCTTGATTCTTTAAAAAAATCCCCCGCATCCGCGCTCACCGTTGTGAAAAATGAAAGAGTGACTCCGAAATCATCAGTCACATTATTATGTCGAGCTTGTGGTTCTCGAGTCATACGCGTGGAAATTGTGGGAAGTACAAATCGTGTATTTGACCTCAATGGCTTCGATAGTGAGACCATCACCTTTGACCCCCCCCACCCCTCCAAAAAAAAAAAAAAAAAAAAAATCATTTGCCAATTATCTTCTCATGAGTCTCACAACTCTGGACGTGCAACTTGAAAAGAACTTAGGTGCTGAGGTGTCTTGGAGCCTCTCTTTGTGCACTTATCATCTGTCTTGCCATCCAATGTGTGTTGGCACAGGAACAGACAGTGTCAATATTTGAAGTAGAGGGCAGGCTTCAAGACCACTCCTATTGGCCTTTCGTATTCACCAGCTGCACTCAACCCTGCCCTGAAAACACGGATCTGATCACGACATAGGCGCACGCGCGCGCGCACACACAGACACGGAGCGCTTCTTGATTGGTGCGCTTGAATAGGATGCAAGTTACCTGGGTACACAGAAGCGTAACTGAAATCTGAAGTCACTGAAGATAAAGATGGGAGTCACTCGCACACAGTAAATCATCACTAAGAAATGTTGCAAATTTGTTCACTAGCATTTGGAAAAAAAAACATGTTTTCTAGTGGTCCGTAAATATAGATTTCAAGTTATTCTACAATAAATGAAGCTTCACAACACCGAAGCTACCCGCCAGAGAAATGCAACAAGATGCAGCAAAATCAAAAGTTTAGCTCAACTATGGTGGTATGTTGGGGTTTTTTTTTTGGAACATTCAATTGACTCAGGATTCGATCCTGTCATGACCAACGCGGAGCACAAGCGCTTCTATTGAAAATATGATGAGATTTCACCCCAAGTCGAATTTCCAGGTACATAGACCTCTTGACCATCTTGGTACATGCTTCCATGAGGCTGCGATTAAAAAAAAAAAGTTCAATGTCACATGTGTGCGAGCGGTACATGATTGGACCAATGTCAGAAGTGGATGTTTTTCCCTCTCGTTAGACTTTTACTTCTCTGTCTTACAAAAATGAGTTTCAAGACTGCAAATTTTCATGGTTTTGACAACTTTTATTGTGAATAAAAACGAAACAGCAATTTGTCATTGTAACATGATTGTACAACTTTTGCTCTTGATTACATTTTTATGTCGTACTGTGAAATGTAGAACTAGATGTAGAAAATACAAGCTGTAAGTAACTAAAATTCAAATTTAGGTCACGGTGCTGACGGAAATGACGTCCGCTCAAGCTTTTATTTTGGCACTTCCGTATACGGTACAGTGCAGATGTGTGATCAAAGCAAATTTTGGTGCTGTCTGGTGGCGAACTAATAGACTGCAACGACCTCAACTCGAAGCGCGTGCATTTTGGAGCATATGCATATATGTGTATATATATATATATATATATATGCAATTTTAATTTTTCCAGAATTTTCAGGAAAGTCCACTTTCATCTCTGTTTAAAGTACTTGTCATTTTTTCCTGAACTATAATTCAGACAAGAAATGAAGATTAGAAGTGTATAGCATCGTGTTTTATTTAAAATTCAAGATGGGCACCAGCATTCGCCATCAACTTTTCAATCCGCCTTGGAACCGCATCCACTTATTTATTTCACAAGGAACGCTGGTGGAATGGAAGACATACTTTGATTTCTTGTTGGCCCTTCAAGTTCCTCCAAAGTTGTTGGTTTGCTAGAGATGTCGTGCTCCTTGAGCAAACCCCAAAGAAAAAAGTTGCTGGGCTTTGACTCAGGACTTGTGGTTGTCCCCGATGACCCATCCATTCCGTTACGGCCATACTTTAGGCGAATTCTTCATTTTTTCAGAGTTGATAAGTAAGGGGGAAGGAAGAGTTCGTCCCCCTTACTTGTGGCAGTTGCGACGGTTCATAAACCAACCGCTTCAGCAAGGATGTTTTTAAAGAGATCAAACCAAACCTCATACCAATCCATCACCTCCCCAAATGCCATATGATGGTAGTCTTCAGAATAGAGTATTTCAAAATACTAAATAAACTAATAACAATATTAATTCAAAAATAATAAATCTAAAAAGAAAACTAGGACAGAACTTGAATTCCCATACAGCACCGCCTTTTTTTTTTTCGGGGACACATATGCATACATGGCAATTTTCCGCGGATCCGCGGAAATCCGCCGTTTTATTTCTTAAATTGATCATTTTTGTGAATCGTCTAAATCCGTTGAGAAAATTTTAGGGGCGGTCAGGTACCTTATCGTCGAGTTTTCACGAGCTCTCCCGAACAGTCTCTCCGTTTTCCGTTTGTAAACAGCCCTGCGATTGGACGTGTATGAAAGCTTTTGGCAAGCAATCTGAATCTAATTTACAGTATTAGCCAAGCGTGCAAAAACACAAAGCACTAAATTAGGGCATATCTTGAAGAACCACAGATTTCAAGGGCAGCTGATCCACTGAGCTGGTGGAAATACCGAGCTTCCGTCTACCCCCGTTTGATCAAAGTAATGGAGAGTAGATTGTGCATTGTAGCAACATGTGTCCGGTTAGAGAGTGTGTTCTCAAAGACTGGACAAATTGAAGTATTCCAAGTTGAAGTATTTAGTTTTGTTGACTGCAAATTTCAAATAAAGCAAGGAGTAGCTTATGTTTGTTTTGTTCACTGCTGCTGTTGCAGTTAATACTCACTATTTTTGTTATGATGGAGCATATTTGATTGTTGTTGAAGTTTAATTTTGTTGCTTGTTTATTGTTTGGAGCCTTTTTAATGTTCAATAAAATAAGTAAAGTGATTTCTTTGCTTGATAATTGTTGCTATTTGCAGTCAGTAGAGTGCATGATTTAGTTCACCAAGTCATTTATCAAAATGTATGCTAAGTTAAAAGAGCCATTTGAGAGCCAAAAATCCCATCACTACTATGCTGTGTCCATGCAAAAATGCTTACATCTATTCAAGCAGTCTCTTGATTCTTGCCATTTAGCGCAGTGGTCCCAAACCTTTTCAATGTACGTGCTGCTCGTGGGGAGGCAACCATTTATAGATACATATATGTGTGTGTGAGCGAGAGCTTTGAAACGAAGTCACTGTGGATGTGCACTGTCACTTGCTGGACATACAACTGTACTACGAGATGTATAGAGTCAAAAAACTACGTACTTTTCAAACACTTTTTCTTCCGAACAAGAAGGCCACTTCACAGCCTAGGAAAAATTTCAAAGTGTTTTATTGACAAGGCAAGAGATGACTAAAAAAATGTTCATCAGCTCGCTCTTCCCTTTCATCATGGTTTGCTGTCGGGGCAAAAAAATAAAAGGAATCAGAACAATGCATCAAGAGACAGACCGGCAGAAGTGTTCCCAACAAGTCTTCTGAGCAGACTGCCGCAGAAGCTCACTGGAATGGTTTTTATTTCTGGTCAGGTCCACAGCAAGTCAGGAACAAAATTACCTGAAAGCCTTGGTATATGACCAATACATGAAATCAAAAAGTGGTAACGGGTTATTACTTACATATGTTTTTTGAATGTTCAATGTGCTTGCGAAGAAGAAACTCTTTTCATCTGTGAGATGAAAAGCAGGGGTTTGTATTCGGGCAAAATGTCAAGCGTATTCAATTGAAAAGATTGCGGATGGATTGTTTCATTCATTCCAGGACTCCAAACACAGGTAAGCGAGGAGCCCAACGATGACAGATGACTTGCTCTTGCACGTACTTTTTAACATGCCTGCCGATGAAGCAGCAGCAGGATGCAGACACCAAACAGTGCAGACCCAAAAGAAGTCGAGCTGTGCGGTTAAAAAGCGACCGTTGATATCACTTGAGGAATTTCAAGCAGTTAAAATGTGTCATCTTGAGGGCCGTTTCTTTTTAAACAAAAATATTTTTTTGGGGGGGGGGTCCAATATAGTAAGCCAATTGCCAAGCCCCAGTCGGAACGGTACATAGGACAAACAAACGGTGGTACAAGTTCAGGAGTTGTCTTTTCAGAGACCTTGAGGAGGCAAGCACGCAACACGCTTGATCTTATTCACATCAAAGTTAACTTTGCCGTGTGCGTGGCTGATAAATGTCAATGTCTGCGCTGAGAGACCGCCTGTTGCGTGGGAGCTCCGCTGACATGAATTTGGGGTATAAATCTGAATGTGGCCATTTGTGGTGTCGTCCGATTTCATGCCTGACAAAGTTGGACAAAACCATCATTGCGAGTCATGACGTCGAAGCATGAGCCTGTAATTGTCATGGAGAAAAACGCTCTCATATTCATGCTTCATTTATCTTAGTATCTTATCCTCGCTCTAATATTGTTAAAAAAGATTAAGTGTATGCTTTTTAAAACATTTCAGAAAACTTTAGAGCTGGAGAAAAAAAAAAAACACCTTGGCTGGCAATCATCTGCTGGAAGGTTACGGGTGGGCTCAGCTTGGCCTCGGCGCTACCTGAAGGAAGAATGTCAAAAATCCATTGAGACCATTTGAACACGAGACTGCGCTTTTTTTTTTATGACACGTCAGTCACCATGTCTAACAAAAAAAAAAAAAAAAAAAACTATTCCATGACAAAAGGTTGTGTCAACCCTCATACCAGGACTCCACCCCACACGCAGCGAGGAGACCAACGATGCCACGTGCTGACTTTGTTCTCGCACCGAGTTTTGAACAAGCGTGCTGATGGAGCAGCAGGCCGCAGATACCAACGGTGCTGTTCGTCTACACACATTCTCGGTGGCCTTCAACAAGCGTGACCACAATGGCTACGGATGAGATGGGACTGGATCTTGCTGCTATTGTAAGTACTCCGGTCACCCATCTTCATCGGGTTGAAATGAGTTGTGCTTTCTATATTTACATCAAGTCGTGCATTGCGTCCCAGGCGAAAGTCAGCGAGGCCGAGCTTCAGAGTAGACGACTCCTGTAAGAGGCAGCGGACTATCGTCAACTTTCACCGCCAAGCTTACTCCGCGGTTAAAAAGTCGCGCCGTGTCGATCAGAAAGGCAATCGTCACTCACTATTCAGAGCAGTTGAACATATTTAGCCAATCATCATGTAAACTGTCGCTAGTGGACAAAATACAAGCGGGCAACTCACCTAGCTGGAACAACGGCGGGGGTGGAGGATGAGGGGGAAACAAAAAAGTACATTTAGATACAAAGACACCAGGAGAACTGTCAATGACGAAATGTCTCGCAAGTGTTCTTTCTCATTAGTAACACTACAGCAGAGGGTCGACCGCAGTGGGTTGCAAGAGAATTAGTTGGTCTTTGCACCGCAAGAAGCTCCATGGCCCACCGCACAGGACCAAAGCGCTTGCTGTGCCAAAAAGCTCATTCGCTTTATTGTAAACAGTCAACTAACGGGGGACACTAGAGAAAAGACATTGAGCAGTACTAACCTCATATTTTTCAGGCTCTCGAGCCAGCCGCGAAAGCGATGTCACCCCACCCTGCAAGGAAATGCCACATTCGGGTTGGGATTCACAGAGAGTGCCCTTTCAGGAAAGAGTTTTCACACAAAACGTCGAGGAATAACTTTAGCATCAGGTGACAAATCGGCAGCCAAACGACATAGAATAGTCATGTATCAAGCCTCATTGACACCGTGCAGCAACCAATAGTGCGGAGGTGAAAGCAAAACCTGAAGTCCTGTGGCCACGGCTGTCACGGGAAGAGGCCGCTCAGGAAGGCCACCCCCCAAACTTTGAACAGCGCGCGGCAGCGGAGCTGGCCCGAGACTAACGCTACTTGAGTATTAAACTTACACATTTTAAAAGGAGCTCTCTTTAAACATCTGTAGTAACTATTTGAGCCGTAACAGCCGCTGCGTTGGGAAAGCAACGCGAGTCTACTTAAACCATTCAATACGGTCATGTTCATTACAGTATTCCAACATCCATCGTCTCGGTCACTCGGTTAGCTAGCATGCAAAGAATCACGTGGCCAAAGAGGCCGTTTCGCTCTGCTATTTCGGCAGACTCACGCCCCAAAAAAACAAAATCAAATTGCTTTAAGGTGACAGAGGTCAGATGATTGTTTGAAAATACATCTACTCAAGATCAACAGCTTTCGAGAAACCCCTTAAAGTCTACCCGCCTGGAATCGAACATTGTTGTCGTACAACGCGCGGTAATTAAAAGAAACAAAAAGGCGCGCATCGGATAAAAATAGTCAAGTTTAAGTCTACCCGCCTGGAATCGAACATTGCTGTCGTACAACGCGCGGTAATTAAAAGAAACAAACAAAAAGGCGCGCATCGGATAAAAATAGTCAAGTATTCAACGTGTGAAATTTGCCATCATAAAACAAATGACTCAAGTAAGTGCGCGAGTACCTCATCCTCGGGAAACTTGCTCGGTCGCGACTTGGGGGTCGAAAGGAGCGTCGACGACGCTGCAAAACTCTTTATATGTGCGTCGCGACAATTGCAAGTACTTTACGATAAATACCCGATTGGCCAGTTGTTCCTTTTGTGTCTGGAGATTCCGAAAAGAGGGCACATTGTTCTTTCTCCTTACTTTTAAATGTATTTAGATTTTGTTTTTTTCCAGTGTTTTGATTTGACGTTGCATTGATGTGGAACTGCACAAAAGGTCGTGCGAAATTGACACGGAAGATTCCCATTTGCTGAAACCAATGAGTGCGTGCCACTAAACGTCAGTATTTCGTACCGTATTCACCCAAACCTTTCAGTTGGCACAATCTGTGTCTCAAACTCAGCTGCTCAAAGTTCTCTTTGCCAAACCAAGCGCAGTTTTGTTTCTACTGCTCCAATGCACCGTAGACAAGCATTCAAGTGCACATTATGCGTTGATGTTCCTCTCAAGTTCAAAAACTTGGTTAATTTTGCAGCACCCAGTGCGTTATTGAACAGCCACCAAACCTTTCACAAATATGTTCAATTCAGAGAGCGCCTTTTCGCACCAAGCAACCGATTTTAGAGCGTATCGTGAGTACACCAGAGCGTAGAGACACTTGCAAAATAATTCCAAGTCTTGCCTTGTTTTCGCCACTTAGATTGACCAACTGTGAAATTTGCAGTCTCTTGCTAGAAATCATAGATGATGGCTGTTGGGTCGGGATGCTTAAAGGCAAAAAGGTCTCAAACACAGAAAACACACACGGCATTGGCTGGGAAGGGGGGAAGGCTTTGTTTACACATTCTTTTGACATAAGTTATGAACCAGTGCCAAATGCTTGAAGACCAAATTCTGGCTGCACAGAAATATAACATTTGCAATTGGCAGAAACAAAGTCAGAAGGCGACTCAAACATCATTACAAAATGGGTGACGCGAGAATCTGAACAGGGTATGAAAGGACATGGTACAGTAAAAATAAAACAACCGAGCTCTTGCAGATTTCGAAAAGTCCTTTCATACTGTGATGGAGAATTAAAATGGGCTTCATCAGCGCCAATTATAGAAATGACTTGTGGATGAAAGCACATTCAGTGTGACGAATTTTCTGCTTGTCCAAAGTGCCCTGCCCTGGACTGTCGATGCTCTCATCAAAACGATTCACCCCATTTTCTGAGAACGAGTAGACACTATGCAGCACGTGCGAAAGGCGCTGTGCAGTTCTCGCGGTCCCTCAAGTCCCAAGTGTCACTCCATGCTCTCCGGGTTTGCCTGGGCCATGTAGGCATCCAGTTCCGCATCGAGGTGACCTTTGGTCTTTGACATGTAAGCGTCCAGCTGGTTGTCCAGTTGCTCGCGGGTCACCGACGGTCGGCCAACACCTCTGCCACGGCCACGTCTGCCGGCAAAACCGCCGCGCCCACGCAGACCGCCGCGCCCTGCCCATCAATGCGCACAAAGCAACGGGTGAGCGGAAAGACAACATTTCGGAGAATTAACTCGGCGCGTGCGGCAAGAGCACCTCTGGACACTCCTCCACGGGGGGCTCCTCTCCCCATAGCGCCGCCGCGGCCAGGAATTCCCGCCCGCTGGCGCCCACCTCTACGAAATGCCATACGGCCAGCGGAGCCGCGGCCTCGCACGGGGAACCCAGGAGCCATTCGCTTTCCTACGTGGTTTCAAAAACAAAACAAACAAACAAAAAAAAAAACGGTACTTGCATTCAGCGGGAGGGTTGGGGGGGATTTGAATGTATGTGACAAAGTGGTTAGGCACCTCTCAGCGAAAGAGCACCTCTCATCATTCCTCCTCTGCCCCTTCCACGAAGTCCTCTGGTCATCCCGCGCAATCCTGCTCTGCCAACGATGGCACCGCCGCGCATCCCCATGCCAATCGGGCGACCCAACCTGGCTTGGATGTTGCTCTTCCCCAGTCGTTGCTTCAGGCTCTGACAAATGATTCCAAACGGGGTTTCAACACTTTCAAACAGGACGGAATCTTCCAGAGGACTGGCCCAAACTCCGCATTTGTGGTCTTGGCACATCGCGCGTGACCAATGACATCAGGCTGTGGCTGGAACACTCATGTTCGTTCGCCAACAGACTCACGACTTAGGTCAGTGGTCGCTATCGGCAGTAACCGCATTTGCCTCTCTTACTCTTGTGCTTCTTTCACAGACTTTTGTGGAGCACACCTGGAGGTGGCAGAAACAACTGGCTTTTTAAGACAGACGGACGGCCGGACAGACAGACAGACCTTGTCGGGTAATGAAAACAGTAAGTTGGGGCTCGTCATTTGGCCCAAAATCCACCATGCGTTTTCCATTCCTGGACCCGGGTTGAACGAGGAAATGTCGGGTTCTGACCTCTGAGGAAATGCCAACATTTCGGCCTGCGCTTGCGCGCACATGCCTTTGTGAGCCGCTTAAAAAGGGGCGTGGCCAGATTTGGATAAAACATTGGAACACCTTTGGGAAGAAGCAAGGCCAAGCGATATTTCTCCTCTAATTGGCATGCAATTGCGCAGAAGAGATTCACGACAACCTTTGAAAAAGTCAGCTTCTTTTCAGATCAGACCGTCATATTCCCCAGCCCTTAATCGGGACGGTCTTTGAACTTCTCAACTTCAAGCATTTCCGCTCCATCAGTAGCTCAGAATTGTTCGCCACCGTGTAGCCAGGAAGACCTTCTGTGTGACATTTGCTATGCAATAGCACGTAGACTACTCGCTAAAAGACGATCCTTTCGCCTGATGACAACCCCGTTTGTTTATGAACAGCCCATGCGATGAGAAAGTCCAACGAGGCCGGGGGGGCGTACCTGTTTGTGACTCAGAGCAGCTTGCACCGAGGGGCGATTCTCCATCTGCTGGGCCAGCCGGCGATTGCGTGAACTGGCCATATGCTGCTGTTGCATGGTGGCTCGAATGCTAACCGCTGTGGGCTGCTTGTTCTTCAGCATGTTAGTGAAGCTTTAGGAGGTGGGAGGGAGAAGAGGCAGTAAAAGACGAGGACAGGGGACACAGAGGAGGAGGAAGCAGGTTTCCACATCAAGTCATTTTTCAAGTCATGGATGCGGCCACACTTGTTGGCGTGGCTCTTTAGTCATTTACGTTCCACTTGCTGGCACTCATTTCTCTCTCTCTCTCGGAAATAGCATCACTTTTTACTTTTCCAAACCGAGCACAAGCAGCACAGCAGAACAAGACGGAGAGAGTGAGAGAAATCGTTGATTTTAAGATCGGAAGAAAAGAAAAAGGACAAGAGAAAAGTGAGTACAATTGCCACTTACTGGCCTCAAGCTTACCGGCTCACCCCGCGGGAGCAGAGGCCACGGACTATGTTGGCAACTCGGCCTCTTACAGCAAGGACCGTGACAAGGATGACACGCGGCAGAGTAGGCTGCCGCGTCACGTCCAGGCTCGGACCGAGTACCTGAACTTGTATGGAGAAAGAGTAAAGAGTAACAGAGAAGAAAGACGAAAGGTGCTTAACTTCAGCTGGTTTGAGAGAGAATGAGAGAACCTTTTTTTTTTCGGGGGGGTTGCAATATCTCCACTCCCCTCTATTGTGTATACTTCATGTATACTGTGGCGTGTTACATAACAGGGAGTGGGAGTGCCATGGAATTTTCAGGACAGCAGTCTGGTCCATCATGGGCCCAGTAAGTATTATCGCCTCATCTCCCTTTGTGCACTGCTCATACATAGCGTTCGGGCTGGGCAACCAAGCTTCTGTAGTGCCTCGCAGCGCTCTTATTCATCTTATGCACCCACAAATAATCACAAGTCCAACAAAGCCAAGTGAGCAGTGCACACGCAAGGATACTTCAAAACCATATCCATTTTAGGCCGGGTCCCTGACAGTATCCTTCTTCAGAGAGCACAAGGACCTTCAAACCCCAAGGATGGCCCTTGATTCTGGTGTTAAACTGCAGACAGGGTGAATGACGTCTCACCGCTCGTTCAGGGACACTTTGGTGGTGCTCTTCAGGACCACTTTTTGAGAGGATGCGGCACTCATTCTGATTGATTTCTGTTGCAGGCTCCTGGAAATAAGAAACATAGTAACTACAAACAATGCCGACAATATATACTTTCACAGTTAATGACAAGACAGTAGCTTTTTCTAAGAGTACCGCAAACTGTGAGCACAAAACCGAGAACCCAACCGTGTGTGTGTGTATATATGTATATATATATATATATATATATATATATACTGAGCTGTCAGTTTAGCGCGTTTTTATTGGCATTACAAACGCTCCCCAACTTACGAATGAGATACGTTCCGAACAATCGTTCGTAAGTTGCTCCAGTGCTATATTTTGTATGGAATGTGTGTTTAAGGCTTATATAAGTAAGTCAATCAAGCACTTATGATGCATCCCATTTAATGTTCCAAGGTGAAATAAATGGGTTTCAACTGGTGAGGAGTAACCTCTGCCGCTTGGTGGGGAACGCGACCAATTGGATACTGAATGGTGGCCCACGGATAACCCTAAACAATAATAATACATCATTCATTCGAAGCTGAAAACCTGGTAAATGTGCGTGGATCGATGGTGGTGCTCCCAAAAGTCTCGTGAAAGAATCAACACCACCTGTTTTGGTCACTCGATCGTTTGCCCACTTTCTTACACGGCCCCCAAAACACATTGGCCTTGCTCGTCCGTCATTGATTTGATTTTATAAAGCGAAACACTCAATTCTCCACTGAGCAAAATAAGAGGTCATCTTCGACAACATTATTATGTAGCAAGCAAGCCGCCTAACTTCATTCAAACCGAACTCGTTTAAATAACGATGAAACCCTTGACTCACAATGAACGTTGCATCGGTCGAAAAGAGCCAGCTAGCTAAACTTAGCTTCAAGAGCTAGCTTGTTCCAACACCACCAGGCCGAGGGGGTGTTGTTAATTGGCCCTTTTGGTTCAAGAAAAATACTTCACCACCAAAGTAAGCTCCCCGAAAAAAAAGAAGTAAACGACGACTACTACTGGTCTCCCGAATCACTTTGGAACGACAAGACAATCGTTAAGAAGCGACTCTGACGAAACGACTTCTTAAAATGGTGCTGCCCATGTAGCCGACGAGATGGCTGGAAGAAAATGGAGACGCTCGCTTTCTGACGTCACGACGCGCAGTTTCCGGCGCCGCTCCGTGTGGTCCTCCAGGAAAATGGCTTCCGGGCTCGTAGTTGACAGCTCCTCCGCTAAAGATGTCATTGCGGAGGGCATGCTCGATCTTTTGAAACCAGCCATCCAACAATTGGACCTGCACGTTCACTCTGTCAGGTGAATACATGCGCATCATAATCAGCATTTGGAATCGACTGTGTTTTCATCGTCACCTAGCATCACATCGCTGCTAGCTTCGGTCTCGTCACTCACGCGTGGCTCTCCGGGAAAATTCAACGTTTGACCTTATGAAATTGTTCTCCTTTTGTATGTCATCTACAGAGAGAGCCAAGTCGAACTTAGGGAGCACATAGACAACCTTGCCTCAGGTAAATAGATTTCTTTTGGGCAGGCTGAATGACACGCCCGCGATTCCCACAGACACACGAGCAACAACACCTCAGCACGTCTGCGAGGAGTGTAATTCCCTATATTTGACCTCGGACGGGTGTTGTTTGTCTTTCCTTTCTGTACAGAATTATGCAGGATAAACGAACATCAAAAGGTGGCTCTTGATCTGGACCCATATGTAAAGAAACTTCTTAATGCTAGGCGAAGAGTCGTGCTCGTAAACAACATCCTGCAGAATGCTCAGGTTAGTGTTGTGTGTCTCTTAACGCAGACATATTAGGCGAGATTTACTCTTTATTGCTCGTGTGCAAATAGTTCACCAAGTGAGGTCAAGCCAATCTTCGGCCAACTGCCAATTTATGAAAATGGGTCTTTCTTCTGAATTCCTGCTCCACTGTTGTCATTGCCCTCAAACCAAGTGTCTCGCCGCTATGATTTGGCAGTTAGGCTGGGCAAGATTTCCTCACTTTCAAGCAGCTTACACTAGCCGAATCACTACATCAGTGCCAAATGTAAACGGAGCTGCAGAGAGTTTATTATATACTGTATATATATTTTAGATGCAGGATGAAGCCTAACTGTGTTAACTTCTGATCAGCGGTCGAGAAAAGATGTCGTTAAAAAAAACAAAAAATAAAAAAACACAAGCATGATGTTGTTCTGTCTTCAGGAGCGTCTAAGAAGACTGAACCATAATGTAGCCAAAGAGACAGCGCGAAGAAAGACCATGTTGGAGGCCTCAGGAGTGTTGGCCTCTCGACCTCCCAGTAAACCCTGACATTCCATGATCTCTGCACAACAAAAAGAGGTTGGGCCAATCTACAGGGGTACTTTTGACCTTGAGGAAGGCAACTCTTCCATTGACATGAATCGTGCCCTCCGGTTGTAGGTTGTTGTCGCGCATGGCATTGTCTGATTCATTTGGTCTCCTGAGGCAACGTTTCCACTCGTCCTTAACCCCTTGTCCAGAATGATGTCTGCCATCTTTGACAGTGCCAGAGTATTTGTGGTTCGCCCCCCCATGCACACCACACCACACCACACCAGTGGTTTTGAAATAAAACGCTCGCCTTTAGTTCAAGACGTTAACTTGACCCATTTATGTTTTTTGTGTTAGCCACTCAATGTTCGGCCAGCCACTTTATTGGTCACGCTGGGATTTACTGATAATAGCAAGTGAGGACTTTTTCAAGGCAAATACTTGGACGGTTTGCCTTGCAGTTGATCGCAAATGTTTTCTTGAATGGTAAATGGTATATTCTCTTGTCACACCTCTTGAATTGAAGAATTGACGGCATCATTTTTTTTTTTGTCCTGCATTTCAAATCCTTTGTGGTGGTGTACATCAGCAAAATCATCAAGTCATTATCCCCATACTTCTGGAGTGAACTCGACGAGTCCAAACTGTTATGGCTGCCTTCCAGCGAGGCTCCAATCAAATTTCAATGATCATGCAACTTGCGCTTTCCTCCTGAGCTTAGATTACTGACTGCAATACCCTTTACTTTGGAGTCAGCAAATCCTCCATTAAGCGCCTCCAGCTAGTCCAGAATGCCACCGCTCGCCTCTTGACTGGTACTCATAAGAGGGAGCACATAACTCCTACTCTGGCATCCCTTCACTGGCTCCCTATACATTTTAGAGTTATATAAGAGACAGAGACTCAACATGTCAATTAGTTATAACACGCCCGCTTGGCCATCACTGGCTGCAGATGATCACATGACATTGATTATCCAATCAGTGCTGTGGGAAATTTAGTTCGCTTAGTCGTCTACGTGTGACTGTCGTGATAGTATGCAATAAAAAAAAAGTTTTCTCTTGAAATTTTATTTACTTTTTTTCTGTTTTTTTTAATAAATGCGTTTTTAATGTCTTGAATTTCTAATATATAATTTATTTATTTCACTAATGAAGGGTTCGGTGAATGTGCATATTAACTGGTTGGGTTCGGTACCTCTAAGAAGGTGAAGAACCACTGTGCTAGAGGGAAACGTTGGCAAATCAAGTTTCACGCATGTCCAACTGTGGAGATGTGGTCCACTTTGGGCTACAGTTGTAATTCGCGCCCATGCATGTGTGTGTTGGGGGAGTGGGGGGTGGGCTATTCTCAGCGGCGCCACTTTAAAGAAAACAGTCTCACGGGTTTGTCAATCTCGACGAACCAGACAGACTCTGGCTGGCAGCGTCGCGGTGAGACCCGCTCTTCGATTGGCCGAGAGCGGCGGCGCGGATGAGAGGCGGCCCGCCATTGGCTGTAGCTCGTCGCAACACCGACGCGCACGACGTCTCCCCTCTATTGTTATTGCTCGGTGCGCGCGAGGAACTGGCAGGATGCGCGAAGAGACGGCGAGGCTGATAAGAAGATAACGCCGGCGTGAGACACTCTAGCGAGCGCGGCGTCGCACACGAGACCTTGAAAGCAACCGAGGTGCAATTCATGCTCGCGTCGCCGCTGCGCTAGACGGTGCCCCGAGCCAGCTCGCGGAGAGCCGAGTCAACGTTCCGACGAGCCGGTCGACGCCACTGGAAGCAAATTGTCGGGCAGCCCGGCGCTCTTTCTGTTCCAGTTCTTCGCCTCTCTCCGTCCGATGTGTAAGTATTCTCCATTCGGCGCGAACGCTCGCTCCAACAGCTGTCGCCGACATTTCAAGCGGACCATCGTCTTCTCGATTTGGAAGTGGAAGTTGGTCAGAAGAGCTCGAGCGATGGTCGTCTTGATCTCGAACAAACGCCGCGCCGCTGCCTCAATCGTTCGTAACGGGTGATGTTGTGCTCCCGACATTTCATCTGTTTCAACTTCGCGCATGTGTGGTCCGCGCTGAACACTACAGTACTCGGTGTAACTGGACGTTGTGTTCATGGTGGAGGCCGACACATGCGTCCGTTTGAGCAAAGACTTGACAGTCGGTGTGCCTTGATATTTCCCGGCGATGATTGATTGGCGCATTCATTTGGACAGCCGTGTCCTCCGGCCGTCGAGCTTGGGGCCTGTAGGATGAACATACACAACAGCGCATTTCAGAGACGCGCTAGGGAGGGGGGGGGGCGACTTGCAACAAATACCCGTGACCGTCTGCAGAGAAGGCAACAGAGCTCCAGACATAACATGAGAAAAAATGAGATGCCACCTTCTCGATACATTCTTGAACACAATATATGACCGAACAGAAGTAACCTACGCATGCGCGCGCACGCACCCACGCACGCGCACACAGACACGCACACACACACACGCACATTACCATGAGCAACTTGGACGTCTCGCTAAGCAAATGGAGAGCGCCTCCGCTCCAAACTACAATTCTCAATGTCCTTCAACTTTTTTTTCATTCCGTCATGAGCCCGCAATGTCATGTTTTTCGGTAAGAGCTTGTATCGTAGCTCACCCCCCCAAGACCCTCCAAAAAAATCCCGGCCACCGTCTTAAACCACAGCCTTTACTTCTGCCTTATTACCATTGCTGGAGAAGACGCGCTTGATTTCTTGACCCACCCCTCCATACTGAGCCACAATTGGAAGCCACAAGTTACGATTTTGTGGCCACGTTTCAAGTCAATTAGTTTAACGCACACCATATAATGTGGACAGAGGTCATTTTTCAAAATCTCTCTGTCATGTGTGGAGCTACGATACAGCTGTGATTTACTTGTATATTGACGTTAAAGGTAGTTGTCAGTAATTCAAGACACAATAGTCACTTGCACGTTACATGTGGTAGCACGTTATAAGCATTGACGCCGATATGGCTACGCTTCTACGAACACGCTATATTTCACAGCCAACAGACATTGAGGCCGGTGCATTCGCTTGCCAAACGCTCGGCCACAAAATAATTGCGTGGAGGGAGGATGAGGACCTGAGGGAACGCAAATTTGAAGAAGATCAGACAGACGATAAGGCGACTCTTTTGGAATTCATTGACAAGCGTGTGATTTCGATGGTTTCAGAACTTTTTTGTGTTAGCTCATCTGCCAAAGAAATGGCGATTTATTCAGGTTGTCGTGAAATGAATGAGCAGCTAAAGAATCTTTATATCGGTCTGTCACACCAGTGGCATTTGCGTCTTTTCATGATGCCTCTCCATCCACTTTCTGCACAGGGGCTGATTCAGAACCGGGCCATCATGATCCCTGTGAACCTTCTGGTCACTCATTGGCTGAGCAACTCAATCCAAGGTGAGCAAGGCCACACCCGCTCTTTATGCCATTTGAATTCAGTCGGGTGTTTCGACTTTCTTTCAAGAGGAATGCGGCCGAAACCGTGTCGTTCGTAATTCAACATTTTCAAATGATCGAGGGCATGGCGGCGGACCGATGGAACTGTCCGGGTACATCCGCTCAGACTAAATTTCCATCAGCTGTTTGCGGTTGGAGTGCACCGGTGTGTGGGCGGAGCGGGCCGCCCGAAGAGAACGGGGCGCCGCGCCTGGCTGTTTAATAAGGGCCACTCGACAGCAGAAAGAAACGTTAGCGGCTTTGTGGTTTCGATTGAGCCCAGACCTTTGCAACCCGAGCGCAGCACCACGCAACTATGGAAGGGCACGTGGCCTTGAAGAATCCCGCATCCGCTAACCCAAGTACAGTATTGACCGAGATAAAGGAGAAAGAAGGCTCGGCGTTTCTTGGGACGCTTTCATGCGAAGGGAGTCGCTCGCCCCGGCGATTGGTGACGTTTTTGTTTGAGGGGAATTACCCCGCACCGTTGGGCTGCCTTCTTTTTTGGCCGGCACGGGAAAAGGCTCAAAAATGCTTTCCACTGCCCAGCGTGCTCGGAGCTGTCGTGAATGTGCAGTTGGCCGATTGCATGTTTGGGGTCCTTCCTATCACTGTTTGGGTTTGTTGGTGCCGGGCACCGTGACAGCTGCCGCGCGCCACTTGGCCCCCGAATGACATTGAGCACACCACCGATCTCATTGTTTGCCATCTAAAGGGCTGACTTGAGCCCGAAACTGGGGGGGGGGTTGTTTGAATGACGGTCGAGTTCGTTGCCGTGAAAACAACCACCCGCTCCGGCTTTGGAGAGGAGCGGTGGAAGGACCCAAGAGCACGCCGACACCACGCAATGTGTGGGCAAGGGTCTGGTTTCTTGCCGTTGTCGGGCTTCCTACCCCCCCTAAGCCGTTCCTTTTGTGTCGTTGGCAGCAGCGTTATGTCCGCGAACCCTCCGAGTAGCAATGACGCCTGCCTCAGCATCGTCCACAGCCTCATGTGCCATCGGCAGGGCGGGGAGAACGAGGGCTTTGCCAAGCGGGCCATCGAGAGCCTGGTCAAGAAGCTGAAGGAGAAGAAGGACGAGTTGGACGCGCTCATCACCGCGATTACCACCAACGGCGTCCATCCCAGCAAGTGCGTCACCATTCAGAGGACGCTCGACGGGCGGCTACAGGTCAGGCAACCTGATGTCCACCCTTGCGCCGGTTTCCCGTACCAAATTGGGTCCTCGTGTTTGATGATGGAGCCTTTTGGATTTTTCTGCTACTTTGTAAGACCAAGTACAGTCGATCCCGCTTTCAACCTCCCCCGCCACGCACCGACGACGTTTCCACCCCTGTAACGTTCCCGCCTCAAAGTCCCGGTGTCGCGTCCTTCCTTTTCCATTGGTCCGTTTTGCTGACAACAAACAACCTTTAATACGCCAACCTCGTGATATCCACCCGATTCTCCCTCTCGAATTGTGAAAAAGGCCTTTGTGGCGACGAACTGTGGGAAGCTAACAGCCGCTGCGACCTTGCCGCCGCGACCTTGCCGCCGCGACCTTGCCGCCGCGACCTTGCCGCCGCGACCTTGCCGCCGCGACCTTGCCGCCGCGACCTTGCCGCCGCGACCTTGCCGCCGCGACCTTGCTTCTGAATGAAATGTACAGCGCGGGAATCCCCTCCGTGGCTTAGCCGCAGCGCTAATCGATCGACCCGGTGCATCCGTTGTTGTACTTCCGGAGGCCGTCTGTCGAGGCGGAACTTGTCTCTCACTTTGGAAAGGGGGGGCTCCCAGACCGGTCTCGGCAAAGTCGACGGTTTCCACAGCCGTCCGCCTTGGCGACAAAAGCCCGGCAGGTGAGCATCAGGGGCGCGCCACTCCCTGAACCGGAGAAGAGGCGGAAGGTTCTCCGAGACGAAGTTGGAACGGCGCCGTCCTCCTACATCGACACGGATTTTTCATGGAGGTGTTTCCAACCATAAATGCTCACACTCTATTAGGCGGCCATTTTGTTGGAAAGGGTGACTACCAACTACCGTGATAGCGTGCGGATTCGTGGCTTCCGTCTCCATCTTCGGAGGAGCGTGTTCATTTTGCGTTGCTTCTCAGGTGGCCGGGAGGAAAGGTTTCCCTCACGTGATTTACGCCCGGCTGTGGCGCTGGCCTGACCTCCACAAGAACGAACTCAAGCACGTCAAGTTCTGCCAGTACGCCTTTGATCTGAAGTACGACAACGTGTGCGTCAACCCCTACCATTACGAGAGGGTGGTTTCTCCAGGCATCGGTAGGTGCAAAGTATCTGACCGCCGAGGCTGCGCGTCTTTCGGCGCTAGCCAAATGAGTCGCCGCCGCTCTCGTTCCTCTTGTTTTGACCTCCGCTTTTTCTGTCCCCTTTCACAGTTGGTCTCAGTCTTCACAATGCAGGTACGTCGCAGCCTACGCAAAGACCTTCTCATCTACCGTAGGCGATCGATCGATCGATCGATCAGCTTGTATCCAACTTTGAGTGGCAAAATAGCAGCCGCGCTAATCTGTGTCCGAAGTAAAAACGATACGCCCGACAGCTACACGAGACCGAAAATGAACGCCGTGGCGTCACGGCGTCTGCCATCTGGGAGGAGTCTGGCACACGGATCAAAGCCCCCCAGACTCCCCCAGGCCAGGCTGACCTTCTGTTCCATCCTACAGTGCCGCCCGGTGGTCTGATCAAAGAAGAGTACATCCACGACTGTATCCAAATGGATCTCCCGCCCGGTATGCCGCTGTCTGAGCACCGGGCCGCGCTCAAACTGCCTCCCGCCGAGCACTACGGCCAAGCGCTGGCTCCTCCGCATCTGTCGTCTGAGCCCCTCGGACCCCCACCCGTCACCAGATACACACAGCTGCCTGTCTCACCCAAAGGTGAGCGGATATAGACGGTATCGAGCCGTGTTTTTTATTTTATTTTATTTTTTGGTCAAAGTCTCAAGCTTTGGTGGTAAAAATGTGTTTTGGATCTGGGGCTGCACGGCACGATAGTGCTTAGGAGGTCGGCCTCGCACCGATAATGTTTTGGGCTCAGGGTTCCTGAGTGGCGTTGCCAAGGGTTTCCCTCTGCTTGCATGCCCCCTCCCCGCCGATATTCCGGCTTCTTCCTACGTTCCAAAAACATGCGCGCTAGGTACCGCTGACCGGCATTGGTCGTTTTGGAAAATAATTCCGTTCCCCGAAATTGATGAGGAAATCATTTTTTTGACATTGGGCTGGACGCGGCGTCAATCCAGGGTGTCCTCTCTTCCATCATCGACTTGCTCTTCCCGTTTGTTCGAGGCATCGCGTGACTGGCGTCTACATAGTGATCCTCGATTGGGTCGCCGGGAAAAGTACGTGATGGGAACTCAGACCGTCGTCGATGAGAACAAAATCTTGACCAATGTGTGGGCAAACAATTGTTGCCGCACCGGTGGAAAAACGAGCAAAAAGCTGACGGCGGTCACCGTGGTCCCCCGCCCCCTATCAAAGAGCCGCACTTTGGGTTCCAGTCTTGAGCGCTTGTCCCGGTGGTGATTGGGCGCGGTTGCGCACTCTCCTCCGCAGTGTCCAACTGCGGCTCCAGGCTGGCGCCGCAGGGCGGCCGCCTCGATGGCCGCCCTCAGACCGCTTCTCCGCAGGTCCGAGTTGGGACTTCCCCGCCTCCAAATCATCCCGCATCTCAGCAACAAGGTCCCCAGCCACCTCCGCCTCCGCACCCCCAACAATCCCCTCGACCTCCTCCTCCTCTTCAATCCCACGGGCAGAATGGGTACGGCGGCAGCAGCAGCAGCAGCAGCAAACATTCTCCGAGTCACGCGGCCTTCCACAGTGAGTGTCTTGATGGCGCGCGCCAGACACCTCGTGACTTCAGACATACACTACAGTGTTTCTCTCCCCTTCCATCGTGTGTGTGTGTGTGTGTGTGTGTGTGTGTGTGCGTGTGTGTGTGTGTGTCTATATATTTCAATCTATATCAAGATATAGACAGACAAAACCATTCTTTGTGCAAATTGTCGTGTTCAGCGCTCGCACGGGTTCCCATGCGGGGTTTGTGAATCGCCGACTCCTCAATAGCGCGTCTTCCAACGTTGCCCTTTGTGCTTTGCTGTGATGCAGCGGTGTGGACGGGCGGCAGCGCGGCCTCCTACGCGCCGATGGGAGCCCTGCAAAACGGGCGCGGTCAGCAGCCAACGCCCCTTCACCATCCAAACCCACATTGTGAGATGAACCCATTTTCTCGACCGCTTCTCCTCTGCGAAGGTCACCCGCATGAGTCTGTTTTAGCCACGGGCGAGGGAACCGGCGTGGCCTGTTGTGCTATTGCAAAAAAAAAAAAAAAGAAACGACAGGCGCCGATTCCTTCAGCGCCGCCGCAAAACATCACACAGAGTACCTCGCAAACTGTGCTCAATGATCATGTTTTCTCGCTTGGAATGTTTTGTGCTTTTTTTTTTTTTTTCTTTCCAGGGTCTCCGCATCATGGCTCAACCTCTTTCCCCCCTTCTGTATCAAATCATCCAGGTCAGAGACAAGTACAGTAGCATTGTTGTTTTCAAGGGCCCCGAACACGCAAAAGCACTTTTGGCTCGCGTAAAATGCTGCTCGCTCACCAAATTGGTCTTTTCCTTTGTCCGCTCATCTCTGAGCATCTTCCTGCGCTTATCTCAGCGCCCCCTCCGCCCAAATCAAGAATAGGATTGGGTCCTCGGTGTTCGACCTGGAAGATTAAGAGCGCATATTTCGACGCCCGCCTCGCTACGCGTGCCCGGCGAAGGCGACAGACCATCCGGCAATTTTTGGGGTCTGCGGTCGTCATTTCTCTGACCCAAGTGGATTCGCGGCCGGGAGATGAAACCTTAAAATTGGCGCAATCCCCACGATCGAACCGGACGGAGAGGCCGGAGCCACAAGTCATTCAAAGCGCCGGCGAAATGCTGACATCATATTAGCATGACTGCGCTAACATTAGCTTGGCTGCCACGCGCCATCCGTCAGATGTATTTTCTTGAAGGAAAGGAACAAAAAATAAAAACAAGTCAACTTACTGGTCACACACGTTAGCAGATGCGTGGATGGCACCGGTGCCGAATAAAGAGTGCCACTTGACTCCGGATTGAGGACGTAAGGCTTCACAAGATTCTTTTGGAGTTCTTTGGAAGGTGCCTCGATTGGTTTTCCGGTCTTGAAATGGCCCACCGCCGCCTTCCCGTTCGGACCGAGAGCTATCGGCTCTGAGAGGTTGCAGCCTTTCGTGTGGCCACCCCCTCGCTGCCCCTCTTTTTGAAAAAAAAAAAACAACCCCCTTTCAAACTCATGGAGTCTTTGACTCGGCTTGAGACTCGATTTCTCGTCGAGCATTTTGGTGCTTTCGACTGTCTTTGTTGTGATTCCGTTGTTGTCTTGTTTGTTGTCTGAGTGGTTTTTGCTCGGCGTAGCCCGTGGCGGCGGTGGTTGTCAAGTGCTCTGGAAATGCAGCAGAGGTGGATTTAATTCACTGCGTCTTCGGTCGGTGTTGTGGTTTGGGCAGGACCCGAGTTCTGGTGCTCGATCTCCTATTTTGAAATGGACGTTCAGGTGGGCGAGATGTTCAAGGTGCCCTCCAGCTGCCCTGTCGTGACGGTGGACGGTTACGTCGACCCGTCGGGAGGTGACCGCTTCTGTCTCGGCCAGCTGAGTAACGTCCATCGCACGGATGCCAGCGAGAGAGCCCGGTAGGTGCCCGGCATTTCCCCGCACCGCTTGTGTGATTCCAAGGTTTGGTTCTCACGGGACTTGAAATGAATGGCACGCGGACCCCAACTTTTGTCGGGAGGGATTTCATCACGCCGGCTTTCCGGATGACGTGGCGGTCGTTTGACCCCCCCCCCCCTTTGGCTTCCTTCCTGTTTGTTCCAGGTTACACATCGGCAAAGGGGTGCAGCTGGAATGTCGCGGCGAAGGCGACGTGTGGATGCGCTGTCTGAGCGATCACGCCGTGTTTGTCCAGAGCTACTACCTTGACAGGGAGGCGGGTCGAGCCCCGGGCGACGCCGTGCACAAGATTTACCCCGGAGCCCACATCAAGGTCTGAACGGAGCTTTGACAAAGCTCACGTCACGTTGCTTCCGAACGCGCTCCGCCACGCCGCCGGCCCAAGACGGCGAGTGCCTCGGCGATACTGCCGTCGATGTACAAAAACGGTTTTGCGAGATCCCGCAGTGGGACTCTCTCGCCCCCTCGCGATTCCGGTCGATGAGCCGCGCACCCCCGCGCGTCCACGTCCATACATTGGAGATCTGCACGGGGGGCGCGATGAAAACAACTGTCAGAGATCGGTGGTTAACTTGAACGCACCCACCCCCAAATGCGTCTGGGCATTGGAACGGCGGTCTTTCAAGTGGCGCTTTTGATTCGGGAGCTCGGGAAGCCGTCAAACATGCAAACCTGTCAAACATGCCGCGCTTTGGAGAGAAAAAAAGAAAAATCGTTGAAATGTCATCATGTCAAGTTGTTTTTGTGTGTGTGTTTTTTTTTTTAGGTGTTTGACCTCCGACAGTGCCACAGACAAATGCAGCAGCAGGCGGCGACCGCTCAGGCCGCCGCTGCCGCGCAAGCAGCGGCGGTGGCAGGAAATATCCCCGGAGCGGGCAGCGTGGGCGGCATCGCGCCCGCAATCGGTGAGTCCCGTCGCACCTCGCTGGCCGGCCCAAAAGATTCGACAGTATGCACTCGGCTATCGTTTTCCCTGTGGGCTTTGGAAGGACGCGTTGCCGCTCGTTCCAGTGAAGGCGAGACTCTTCGGGGCTCGTCAGAGTTCCCTTTCGATCGCACCAATCCAAAAGGTGTCGTTACTGAGCTGAGAATCACCGGATGAATTTGTTTCAAAGCTGCGTCCTCTTTGGCCGTGACACAACTTTCTGTAGCTTGGGGGAGGAGGGGCGGCTGACGGCAGCCATAAATGAGACTCGGCAGCTGTGTGAAGTGAGAGCGCGCTGCTCTGACTTCAAGAGGACTGGCCTCCACCCCCCCCCCCCCAAAAAAAAAAACAGACCAACGATTGAGCAAAGGGCTGTTTTGCTAAACAGGTGCCCATTTGTGGAGCCATTTTGGCGCAAGTCACCTGAAATGGGGTCAATCGCTTGCTGTGTTCAAAAATATACAAAGTAGTGGATCCATCAGACATGATTGTATTCATGTCCAACAGGTTACAATTCACAAAGAACACAATGAGTAGGTTGAGACAAGTTTTTATTTTTTGACTTCTTCCTCCTGTCTCTGAACATGGCAATAGTGCTGCACGGTAACGAGTTGTTTATTTTTATTTTTGGGGGGAGGGCAACTCCCCCCCCTTGCCACCCTTCAGGAACCAAACTGCATTTGTGGATATTATTGGAAGGATTGAGCGTTTTCCTCACTTGCAGGTCTGTCTGCGGCAGCGGGCATCGGAGTGGATGACCTGCGGCGGCTCTGCATCCTGCGTCTCAGCTTCGTCAAGGGCTGGGGGCCCGACTATCCCAGGCAAAGCATCAAGCACACGCCGTGCTGGGTGGAGGTCCACCTTCACCGCGCTTTGCAGCTTCTGGATGAGGTGTTACACACCATGCCCTTAGCCGATCCGGGGCCCGCCAACTGAGAATCCCGATGCTGAGACGTCGCGCGGTTTGGACCGCCTTTTCGCTTTGTGTCAAGTAGCTCCTTTCAGAGAAAGGAATTCCAATGGCAAATATCAAAAGGCCGACCCCACGCGACCAACAACACCTCCCGCTCGTAACAATCCTGCCACACTGCACTCCGCTCTGACCCATCTTCTCGCCTCGTATGACATCAGACGCGTGGGACAAATTCCGAGAGAGCGCGCAAAAGCTGAGGCGGTCCACGGTCGGTCTTTTCCCACACCGCTACGTCGCACTCCAAAAACCCGTGAAAGTGTACCGGCGCCATCACGACGCAGTTGGGGGATAGGAGTCCCCCTCACCATTGAGCACCTCGAGAAAAGGATGTCTGGAACCCCGCGCCGCTATTCTTGTTCCCTCTCCGTATGGACAACCAAAGTCAAGTGTCGATGTGGACTGGGCGAGCGAGTGTGTTTGGTCCCCTCTGCGCTTGCAGTGTGCTCATCAGCGTCGGCCGACCCAAACTCCGGCTCGATGGTCCTCTGAGTGCACCCTGCGCAAGTATCTGTGTAGATCTTCATTCCCAAAGACTAAAAAGCCAAAAAGGTTTAGCTTTAAAGTGCTGTTGTCGGTCGTCGTAATGAACCAGTGCTACCCTGTATTTAACCAAATGTTTGGTGCGACTCACCAAAGCTGCAATACCTCATGAAGACGGTCGTATTTTTTCCGTGTGCTTTTCTCCCCCACCAAAATGCTCGTCGCGTCACTGACTGACGTCCGAATCCGGGATGGAGGAAAGAGTACGAAGGCGATCGATAATGTTTGGCGAGTGACCGCCATCACCAGAGACTGAAGCCCGAGTGCTTGTCTCGTCTGACCAAAAATGCTTCGGACACCGGTGCCTTCCTAGCTCAACCCTCTCTCTTGGCGAGTGTTTCCTTCAAGGTTGTTTGAACTCTGGTAGCTTTCCTTCGCTGACTCTTGAGATAGGAGTTCAGAATCTTGTCGTCTTCTTAGTTGAAATGGGTTGAAAGTTTCTTTGTGAGCAGACAATGTTCTCTTCCTGCTCAAGAAAACCAAAACAACTCTTACCGAGCTGACAGTTTTGGCATGTCGCCGCTTCCTTATTACGGGTCTTGAAAAACAGCGGAGCGGTCGGGGTCAAGGCTGCGAACCAACTCCCAGCCGCCGCTGTGGTAGCAACGGGTCCCTGTTGATGGTGCCGTCGGCGACGGCGGCGAGCGGGCTTACACGCTGCCACACACGGCCGCGGGCACGTGTCGCTTCGGGTTGCGGCGGCAAGGCCTTGGAGCGCAGCTTTGCTCGTCCCCCCCCAAAAATGAGCGCTTCAACGCAACATTGCGATAGCGTATGCCAGACAGTCGACAGACTGGCAATGACACCCACCCGTGCTGTCGTCGTCAGTTTTTGTGTTGGGATTATTTGTTTTATTAATTTCCTTATTTTTAACAAATACAGTATTTTAGAGAAACCGGCGAAGCACCGAAGCCGGAATTCGTGAAGCGCCAAGTGATTGCTGAAATGGAATTTAAAAGAACAACAACCGTTTTGCCCCCCCTACATCAACCCAGTGGCCGTTGCGTCGCTCCCTCTGCTTCTGTCTTTGCTCAGCTCGTCATCATTGTTATTAGTCGTTCTTCTCAGAGGACAACGAAAATACGACTGACTACTGTTGTGGATGTTGTCTTGGTGGGATTTGAGTCGATTTGTGAAGTCTGTGCTCGCAAGTCAAAGCGAAAAAAAAATTGGACGCACACCGACTCGTGTCTGGAAAAAGTGCGCAAGTTGATTCACTTGTACCTCAAGGCGCCACTGTTTTGATTTGGGTGGCTTGACTCTCATCGTTCCCATCGATGACTGCTAATAAAGAGAGACGTTGCTCTTGTCTTGGTTCAGGTCACTGAGAACCGCAAAGGGCGGGGGGGGGAGTCCACTGTTATTGGAAATACAATTACTGTACACTTAATTCGTCCCGCGGATCTCTGCCAAAAGGTTTTGCTCCCAGCTCGCCTTTGCGCGTGCGTGGCGGCACGCCAAGGCACCGACATCGCGAGCCTGACTTGTTTGGGATGGAGGACTGGATTGGCAAAAATGAAATGTCACCGCTTTGCTGTTGTTGTCTTCGATTTGTAATTTGCTCGACATACATTATGCATCACATACGAGCTGACAAATGCTGCATATAAAAGTCCTTCTAGTACAGTCTCCCCAAAAAATTACGCAGCCCCAAAAATGACATGACCCCCCCCCCCCCATCAAAAAAAAAACTACCATTCTAACCGCACTGAAACTCCTTTGTGGTCGCGAACTCCCCGCTTGGTGCGCATGGACTGCTACATCGCGTGCAGAAAATAGTGAAAGAAATTGGAAAGTGCGCACCAAGTAGCCGCGGATCCTGGTGGCTCACTTGAAGAAGAAAATCGAACGTACCTTGTTTCAAAGTTGAAAGGTTGAAGGAACGCGACATCATTGGACGTGGACCGCGAGGAAGTTTATTTTGGGCTCGGGATGAGATAGAAGCACACGGTGAGAAACTTGGCGTCGCGCAAGTAATAATTGGTCTGGACGAAGTTGTAACTGGTGTGAACAAATGTGTTTCTTTCCCATCGCCCGTTCCTTGCCTTCCAGGCGACTACTACTTGTTGCCGCAAGGGGGCAGTCAAGTCCTTCGTGATGCTGCAAACAGTCCCGGTACGTGAAGAAGAAGTAGTTCAACGGATCCGGAACAAATGTCAAATGGCGCATTTGAAGGGAATACATCTAGTGATTGTTTGTGTGAATTTCGTGTAAAGTCAGTTCGTATTTTCCGGCTCTTACAAGCGCGACTGCAATTGTTTCAACTATACCAGACCTCCACTGTTGGGAAAAGAGCGACCAAGGTGACTAACGCTCGGCTGCTCGAACTTATTAGCAACAAATCAGCGAGCGGAGCGGCTGTTTGCCTACGACAGAATGGACTCCTGGGTTCGGTTCAATTCGCAGAGCCAGGCCAAGGAGAAGATCATTCGGTAATGTTACACCCCGAGGCTGACTGTTTCACCAGCGCACACAACGTAAACTACATTTACCCCTCAACAAAATAATGTTCATTAAATCTGAAACCGCAAAAACCGCAAGGCGTCCATAAAGACAATAATAGACAAATGAGACAAATGTTCTCTTTCTTCTGTGCTTTATAGGGCTGCTCAATATGCCTGCACCCTGCTGGGCTACACGTTGCACAAAGGTGGAGCAGGAGCGCAACTTCGCAGAACTGTTAGTCAGTTGGAAGCACACATGAGCCTGACAAGAAAGTGTAAGTAAAACATCGCAGAATCCCTGAGTTTGATTGAGAAAAAAAAGGGGTCGAGGTTTTACCGGACACCGCTGAATTAATCCAATAGGGAAAAAAGTAAGTAAAAATGACTTGACTTGGGCAGTGATTCTTTCACGTACCGCTAGAGGGCACGCGATTACCCAACGGATTTCCAGAGTGGACTGAGTCTAGCTGGTTTTGAGTTTCAAGCGCAGCTTCACGGGAATCTTCCCCAAAGCGAGTCGTTTATGCTGAAATGAGATGTGCTTGTGTCTCAGTGTTGCGTCTGGGGAACTCGGTGGAGGCCATCGAGTCGGCAAAGAGGGCCATCCATCTCTCTGACAGCATACTGAGGCTCTGCCTCACCGTCGGCCACCTAAACAGAGCAATGTACTTTGCCTGTGACAACGTCCTCTGGGCGGGGAAGATGGGCCTCCTATGCAAAGTGGACCAGCGCAAATGGAGCCAGAGATCATTTAAGTGAGTCGGCATTGCAGTCACCGCTGCGTCCGGAGCAACCGATTCCACCAAGCGCCGTGCGCGTGGTTGTATGTTTTGTAGGTACTACCTGTTTGCTCTGATCCTCAACCTGACGCGAGATGTATACGAGCTGCACCTCCTGATGGAGCGCGAAGCACGCCGCGGAGCGGCCAAGTCTCCCCCCTCACGCGACTCCTCGCCGTGCACCGCCGCATGGGCCGTCCCGCCCGACCCGTCGGCGTGGCTTCGCGGGCGTCTCTCCCTGTTGGCGACGGTGCTGCACAACAACCCGCCGCTCCTGCTGGATCTGCTGAAGAACACGTGCGACCTCTTCATCCCGCTGGACCGCCTGGCCATTTACCCCACCGGGACGGGCTTTGTCGGCGCCTGTGGGCTGGCCTCCTCTTTGCTCGCCCTCCTTACCATCGTCCACCCTTGGCTGAAACTGAAGCCGTGAAGCCGCCGACTGTGGAAGGACGTCTGCTTTTGCTGGCGGACTTGCTTTGGTAAGTTGTGCATTTTCCACCCGGGCTTTTGTATGGACTGAGCTGACTGAACGCATTTCGAAATATTGCCGCTGTCGCGACGCCGTGACGGAAGCGTGACGTTTTGAATGACTCGGGTGAAGTCATTCCTACTGCTCTGTTTTGATGCTTCCCTTGTGGTTTTGCGGCCCCTGCCTCCATTGAGGAGGTTTGGCGCAATTGCCCTCCATTTGTTGCTATGTCTTCTTCCTTTGTGCTCATCCATCTTTGGCACGGGATGTTTTTGTGACCGGTGGGTGGCCATTTTGGGCGTGTTATTTTGTTTGTCGACCGATCGTGTTACGCAAATTTGCAGTGGATGAAAATTGAGATTGACAGAGAAGTTGCTTTTCACAGAAAGTGGACTTTCCTGAAAATACAAATATATATATATTTTAACCGACTTACCAGGTTTGTCGACCTTTCTAATGTAGTCGGACAAAAAATGTCCATTCAAGTCCTTTTCCTCAAGCCATGACCACTTGAACGTGTTCCTAACACTCGCGTCGATTACACGTATGTCAGCTTGCCTGTCTACCTGTTAGAACATTGGGCTAGGGCGGTACCTGGCCGATCACGCATGAAACAGTTTCCACAAAACACTATTCAAATACTCGACATTAAATGATTAATCTGCCTTTTGTGTGCACACGTGCACCCTTTGTGGCTTCCGTTCTCGCCGAAATTTCAAAATCTCCGAGATATGGCGAGGCCACGAGAATGCGAGGGGAGGGGTGTTACTGTTACTAGTGTTAGTGCCTCAACATGGCTTCGCTCGAGAAAGCAAAACAACGAACTCAAACGCGTTTGTTCAATGTTGTCAACTAATATCCGGATTAATTTTAGGCATTTTTCCCTCAATTTTCCGGAGGAATTCTCATGAAAATCCGGAGGACTTTCATCACTGTTTTCAGGATGATGTTACGTTTTTGCACATCAAGGGTTACATTATCCAAGTGAGGCGCGAATGCGACCATTTAATTTGTGAAACTGTTTCTCATTTGACACACTTACTGTGATCATCGTGGTAGTGATACTGGGAAATGTGTGTTACGTTGCCATCATAAATCAGTTAATGCCTGTGTATATATGCTCACTATTGGAACGGGACCGTTGTAGTGTGGGTTGGGGTATGCGTCATCATGACAAAACTCAAGAGACAATGGAAAAAAGACTGTAATTCAGAATAACAGCTTCAAATAAAAACATGAAGAAAAAAAAACATCACAACTGCTGCAGCCCCCCCCCCCCCCAATTGGGACCGTGGGCTCGTGCCGGTGCTTCTGTCCAGCGAGCAGAGCCGAGCGGTTTCCTGTGGAAAGAGGCGTGTACGAGTGTTAGAAATCAAGATGCCAATTCGACATCTTGTGTGTGATTGAAGAAGAGAGCAAGCCCAACGTCTTGTCAATCCTGCGTTTCCATGCTGTCATCCTCTGCGTCCCCTCCCTCTTCGAGAGTTTCCTCTTCCTCCTCCTTCTTCTCTGGAGGCTTCTCATAGGCCTTTTCTGAAGGGGTCACGATGACACCATCCCAAACGGACATCTGCGTGGCCAGATCTACCAGAATGATCAGTCGCGTCATGAACACATACGGTTGTCGGCGGCAACGGCGGCATGTTTGGATAGGTTCATTTACAGCTGGCGTCCCCGTCCAGGCCCAGGATCTTCCTGAAGCCGCCGTGTGACAGGACCCTCACCAGCGTCTGAGCGGTGAAGCACACGGCGTCCTGCGCAAAACCCAGAAGTGCATGAAGAATCCCATCAGTGTTGCTCGCTTGAGGAAAAAAAAGGACCTACCTGCTGCTCCAGAGTCATGACCGTGTGCACTCGGAAGTTTCCGCTCTCACAGGGGTCAGTGATGCCCACCGAGCCGGGCAGGAAGAGCCCGGCGGCCAGCATCTGCAGGCAGCGCCTTCCAAACAAAAAAAAAACGTTGAAAAACAATGTGACGCAACAATGCGTGTGCCAAGGCAACTGACCTGTAGGCCACATTTAGAGACAGTGGCTGCCTAGATGGATTGTTCATCACCGCCGAGTGACCCTGGAACATCGGAGGGTTGACATGGCAAAAAGATCCGAGCATGATTTTGTTTTTAAGACTAATTTGCACATGACTGACCATTTCCCGCTCATAAAACCTCTTGAAAATGTGTGTAACCCCCACCACGAAAAAAACCCAACCCAAACATTTGAAGCCAAATCAGCTTTCTCAGCAGGTTTTTATTGAAATAGTGCCATTTGGAACCAAATGGGCAATGAACGTCAAAGGCAATGCAAAAACTCAACACGCCAAATAGGTTCTTTGAGAACTTACCAGTAAGTCCAAAATCCAAGGCGTGAGAGGCTCAAAGCCGGGGAAGCGCAGCCTGAGGTCCTTCAGGAGGCGGATCAGCACTTTGACCCTGAAGATCAGGACATGACATCACGTTTGAGTGCCTTGCGAACAGGCGACCCTCGTGACAAAGAAAGAGCCCCCCCTCTCACGTGGATTGAGAAGCGTTTTCCTCAAACCAGCGGGCGTGGCGGATGGCCGCGAGGGCGCTCTGCAACACCTTGATGTCCACTACAAAAAGACACACAAGTCGGTAACGCGGAGGCGACTTCTGACTAGTGTTTTGCGTCCGTGTGGCTTGTACGGTGTAACTCGGGGTCCAGTTTGCGCAGGTTGGGAGGGACGGTGGTGATTAGAATCTTGACAGTGGACGTCCGCGAGCTGATCTCAAAGCCCGTCTCGTTGGTCAGCATGGACAGCACTGGCGCACACACGCGCGCACTCTCACTAAAATGTTCTTTTTTCAATGGTATGTTTGGAGGCTCTCGGCGGTACCTTCGGTCGGGTCCTGCGTGCGAAGAGTATCCACGACTTTGTTGCCCAGGGCTGCGACAGCCTCCACTAAAATACAAAAGCACAGAATGATAATGACCACCGTCGAACTGAAAGGAGGGTCGTATTTTCTCCGCACAATTCAGTTTCGACAACAGTTCTTCACGCCCGCCATCCTTGGTCGAGTGCAAGGGGATCCAGGCGCAGCGACAGCAAACACACACACTCACGTGTCGGAAGAATCTTGAGGATCACGACAAGGTCCGCGACGTTGTGGCCGGTTGTCATGGTCCCCTTCTTGTAAGAGCCCACCTGACGCACCTCCTCGATTTGCTGCCAACACCCCCCCCAAAAAAAAACACAGACACACACACGCAGTGGTGCCATTTTGATTCTGCAGAAAGTCAATTGGTGTTTTTTTTTTTTTTTTTGGTGAATCAAGGCGGCCATGTCACCCCCCGCCCAATTTTTTTTTTTAAATGGATGGATGGATGGATGGGTGCCAAGCGTCTGAATATGCTGGCGTCCAATGTATCCGGACCCAGATCCCTAGCGAACGGGTTCTACCTTGGCCCATATAGCCCGATTCCCCAAAATGTTGTGACATAATCCCCCAAAATGTCAGCAGGCAGCACAAAAGGTGTAAAGTCTGTGTCCTAAGACAACGGCGTGGGTGGACCTGCGTAGAAATTTGAGTTCCTTTTCACGCCACCTGGGAGCACTTGGTGTGAGCCAGACGGATTTATCACAGCGATAGCTCATGATGTCTTGACTTGACTCACCACTTCAAAGTTCCCGGGGGCAACAATCAGGTTATCGATGACGTTGTTGATCTTGGTGACCAGGGACAAGATGGAGGACTGTCAATTCAGATCCAGACAATGAGAACAAGGCTACAGTCAGGTCAAAAATGGAAACCTCTTTCGATTGCATCGCAGCGAATGTCGCGATTTCCCAAACCTGCTCCGTCGATGTGGGGCTCAGGTCTTGATTTCTCTTCAGCAGACACTCGCTGAACGCACTCTCATCGGGCGCAGGCTTCACTCTGGGGAAGGCCATCTCACACTGAGGAGAACAACCATTTGTCTCGTCATGTCAACGACACGGGCCGGAAATTTACAGAACCAGCCGGCTATGCTGGGGGAACTCAATCTGAAGCGGATACTTGTCCTGTCACTTCGGGGTGAACGTTCAGGTGGTATGGTAGTTCGGGGGGGCTCTCAATTGGCTGTTCTGACAAAGCCCCCACTAACGAATCGGCAACATGAACGACTCCAATTGCTCCTGTACATAACATCGATGCCGTACTCGTGATTTTTACTCACCACATAAAAATCAAACGGGATGTGTGGAACAAATGGACGGTACCTAAACAGGAATGAAGAGTCCAGAGTCATTTATTACGGTAAAGGCAGAGGGGGAAACCACAGACCGGATCAAACACATTCGGAGCAGCCAATGTAGAATTATGTCGTTGTGAACGCAGCTGCAGGCAGCGCATTTGCGATCTGGGCTTTCAGTCGTCATGCAATAACAACTTTGTTGTTGTTGTTGTTTTCAAACCATCAATACAACACAAAAAAACGGCACACAAATAATAATCGAACAAAAAGACATGACATCAAATATAATATAATCTGACGCAACAGAAATACCGATGATCGAACATCTGTACGTGTTTTTCCAGGTGAACTCGGCCTGTTCTGCTCACAAATCAAAGGATGGAAAAATGTTTTATTTGAAATGGGATTGGCTGAATTCATATTAGAATTCAGAAGTCCCTGGGCAGAACCATTGACATAGCAGGACTCGGAGGCTGAAATCTGACTGGATAAATTTTTTTTTAAAAAAATCATAATAATGCGCTGCATCTCCCAATGCTTGTAGGGCAAAAGCTGAAAAAGGAAGACTTTGGCTGGCATTTGGTGTCAAAGTCCGGTCCTGTGGGGCTGGCGTCCTGCATGTTTTCCATGTCTCCCTGTTGCAACACACCTCATCCAAATGATCAGCTCATCAGCAAGCTCGATAGGAGCCTGAGAATGATCCTGACGTGATGCGTGGCAGGAGGGAGACATGAAAAACAGCAGGGAGACCGGCGCTTCAGGACCGCATTTTGACATCCGTGAGTCTTTGGGCAGTCATCAACAATTCCGCGTAGCACTGAATTATAATTCAGGTTGTAAACGGAGGTCTGTGCTAAGAAGAGTGTTTCGATCAGAAACATGGAAGAATGGGCCTTTGACTGCTCCCGGCGGCGAAGACGTTGCAAGCGTGATTTGCATAGCTCAACTCACCCCTGGGCGAGTCCTCCGCGGGACCCAAAGCGGCCTCCTCGACCCCTGCCGCGGTCCCCTCTGAGCACAAATACACCAACGCGTCGGAAAACGATTGCCAACGTTGAGGATAAGTGTGGCTGAAATCGATCGAACGGGCTTGCTTGCTCCCATTCATTCATTCAAGCAGCGAGCTACTACCGGCGCTAAGGGAATACAGGTGCTCACATATAGGGACGTTGTTCATTAACCACAAACAGAATTCAATGAGGTCAAACAGAAACCAATGCAGTGAGCCGCCCGAGCTAAATCGGACCGATAACATACCATACTTTTGAACAACAACAGCAATAATAATGATGATGAGAATGATCCCTTGTGAGCATCGTTGGCTAGTTTTAGGCTAGGCTAACGACCGCACTACCATGAAGCCAGCAGGACAACAGATTACGAAACAAATTCACATGGCCGCTGTACATCCGCACGAGACTACAACGTTTCAAAGCAATTCGATTTTTTTTACCTCATTGCGTACGACGTTTTGGCAATGAAACGGAAAAAAAAATTGCAGAAAATTTGATGAACGTCTCCACTCGCAAAAGGATTGGCTGGCTAGTGGCGACTACCCCCTCCTTTATTGTTCTTGTATTTTACAGGTGTCGGAAAGATACGATGGCGCAAGTCTGCCACCTCCTGGTTTGGGGTGGTACACTCACTGTACACTCTAATTGTTTAACGCTGACAGCCTGCAGTATGAATGACTTTTGAATGTGGATTCAGTTTCCAGAATCTAAAAAGTTGGCGCTTATGACTCGGCATTTGAACAGGGGTGTGTCGACTTTTTATGCCCACCGTGATTTTATCATAGATTCGCAGCAGTGGGGTAGAGTTCTATGTACTCGGGTCTCTTTGTTGTCGCTCGTTTGTGGTGACGTCAGAAGGAGGGGACGAAGTTAAAGGTTCGTTGCTGGCGCGGCTGAAAAGAAAAAGGAATTAAACGGCGGCGTCTATTATTCTTTGTACACACTGGGTGTTGTAGGTTCAGGTCTCCACAGAAAAGGGGGGAAAACAGAATGAGATCAAAATTGTAACGCGCACACAGGCTGCCTCTCAATTGGCGGGATTTTGTGCGTATGTAAAAAGGTTTACAATTTGTCTTCAATAAAATAATTTTTTTGTGAAATCGATTGTGCCGTCATTTCTGTTGTTACTCGGCTAAAACTTGACGTTATCGAGCAAGTTTCGGGTTTTGGTGACGACATTACCGTAATATGAAAAGAAACCAAGCGAAAGGAATTTTGAGTTGAAAAACTTCAACGATTTGGGATTCCAACATAGGCGTATGACGTCACGAGCCGAAAACATGCGCTTCTTTTGACTTTGTAGGAATTACGGTAGATGCTATTATCCAAGCGAATCAGCCCCGAGAGCACAATGGAGACACCTTGCCATCCTAAAAAATAAACGGCTTTTGCCGTGCAGAGACAGTTGTCTGTGACTTTCCTTTGCCATTACAGAGAACACACTTTTCTGAAGGCAGAAGGCTCACAACAAGAAATAAGCTTTTGTGCTTTAGTTGTTGTCTTTGTTTTTTTTTTTGTTTTGTTTTTGCCAGCGAAGCATCTGCTTGGGTTGCCGGTAGCCCGGTTAGCTAGCTAACAAGGGAGGCACCTGCTAGAGCACTGCTGCTTGAATTGCTTGTGTTGTACTGTACCTACCTCATCCAGAGAAGCAAGGGAAACGTTATGGAGTTTCCTTTCAATATAAACCACTTGTTTTCTGAGAGGTTCTCCATTTTGGACAAGACCCTTGTTGCGGGGCGTATGTCTCCAAGAAGGTAAAGTGGTTCGTGATCATGGTTGCAATGAAAACAGACCATTTGAATCTCCTTTCTGTTTCAACCAAACCATCCGTTTAGCAGTGGCTTTCGCATACTGAGATCAAACCATTGGAGTGATGATGTCTTCGCATTTCCAGTGAGGAGTCAGTTTTGTAGTTTACACAATGTATCTTTTTGGAAGAAATATCTGTTATGAGCACAGAATATTTTGGTACTGCACAAGGAGGAAATAAACACCCCGACAGAGTAAATCCCGTCACCAAGAGAATTACAACACCCTTGGCCCACCTTGCGTTCCACATTTCGATGAATCAATTTCTTAATCTGATATTCTTTTTTTTTTTAATTATTATTATTCCTATTTTTTGGGCCATTTCCTTCCACTCTCGTACATTTTGTGGACATCTTCAGTTAAGGTAGTTTCTTTCTCAGTCCTACTTACAAATGTTACCCCCAAATTTTGGTCCATTTAATTAAGAAGTAGATATTTGTGTGTAGTTCCACATGAAATAAATGTGTCCTTTCCAGATGGAAGATTTCTTAATCTGATAGTCTTTTTTTTTATTATTATTATTCCTATTTTTTTGGGCCATTTCCTTCCACTCTCGTACATTTTGTGGACATCTTCAGTTCAGGTAGTTTCTTTCTCAGTCCTACTTACAAATGTTACCCCCAAATTGTGGTCCATTTAATTAAGAAGTAGATATTTGTCTGTAGTTCCACATGAAATAAATGTGTCCTTTCCAGATGGAATCGAAATAGAATATTTTGAACATTAACGAGGATGACTGTTGCCTCCAGGTATTGACACGTACTGTAGCATGATAGGCCCTCTTGTCTTGTGTGTTCTTTGTAGGCCTAGGCCAGAACTTCAATCCCACATAGCCACTGTGATTGATGAACTGGGGAGAGCCTCTGCAAAGGTGAGTATCATCATCATCGGGTCGAGGAGGGCCTTGTCGTGTGTAGACAGTGACACAACGTATAGATAGTTGGCCACATTTAGATACCAACGTTCCACAGAATCGATGAGGAAAACGTGTGATTTTTCCGAGGACCATAGACAAGTATTTATGTCAACTTCTTTTTGTTTCTGTTTGCCTCAGAATTGAGATTGAGAAATAGACATCTTCAATAGAATATTCTCCCTTTCATCCGACTAGATTATTTTATCAAGGATCATAGACAAGTATTTCTCTCTTGATATTTTTGTATTTTTGCTTGCCTCCGAATTATTGCCCTTTTTTGCCATATTAGTTAAAGTCTAAATGATTTGAATTGAACAAAGCTGAAGTAAGCTCTGCAAGTTTGGGGAAAAAAAAATATCTGCAGATGACATGCTTCTCTGTCGCTGACTCAGTAGCTAGGCTGGGCAGAGCTCTGCCACTTTCAAGCAGCCACGGCCAGGCAGCAGTGACATGCAAACGTCATCGTAAATGAGTGCTCGATATCAAATCATTGAATTCATCCATTTTCAACTGCATCTCCTGCTCAAGGTCACTTTTGAGCATTTTGAAAAAAACGAACATTCTGTCCACCTGGTAGAATTTTGGCTCTTGCATGCACAGTTGGGTGAGCTAGTGGCATAATAATGGGAACGATATGATTTATTGTTTTTTTTTAAAAGCTCTCAGCATCACTTTGTCTTGCATCTTATCGTTGACTTTAAAGTGTGATGTGTGTTTCAATGGTATGCTGCTTAAGTTTAGAATGTTCAGCATAGCACCATACTGTCCAGAGATTTGTCATTCCGCAATAGATTTTTGTGTCCGAAAACCATTTTCCAGCCAGGCTACGAACAACGAATATGTGCGCTCTGTCCACAGGCCCAAAAGCTAACCACGCCCGTCACGAGCGCTACCAAGATGCAGTCTCAGCATCATCAACTCTACCTGATGAAGGATGGAGAAAGCCAAGGGTATATCGTGATGCTCATCGCCGCTACTTTGCACTTATGTTTGGAGCCGTTTGTCTCTGGGCTCCATCTCGTCACCGCATGCGCCTGTGTGGCATTCCCAGTCAATTGGCCAAGCAGAAGCGTCACGGAAACGATGACTTAGTCCGCTCTGCCTCGGAGACGGAACTCGCCGACGCAAGCTATCGGCGTTTCGGTAGTGCACATTCATACAGAGGCTCACATTCTATCGTTATTCGGAGCACAGTGGAGTAAGCCAATCCTCCGCGAAGCGTCTCCAGCTGGTCCAGGATGCCGCCGCTCGCCTCTCTCGACCGGCACTCGTGAGAGGGAGCGCTTCACTCCTACTCTGGCGTAGCGAGGTAGCGAGAATGAAGCGGCGGCTCGGAGGGGACGGAGCATTTGGCGTGGCCGCTCCCTCTCTTTGGAATGAATGCCGGGCAAGCCCCCTTCGCCGCCCAGCCATCTTGAAAACTCGTCTTCCGACTCATTCCGAGTCTTTGGCTTTGGACTGGGCCGGAGACTCGATTGTTTTTGTGCTTTCCACTGTCTTGGTTCGTCACGCATTTGTTGTTCGGATTTTTTTGTTCTTGTTTTAAAGTGCTCGAGAAAGACAGTTGAGAGTTGAGATTCACATACCATCAGATCACAGCTCACCCTTGCGCCGCCCTTAACCCCCGTCTTTCCTACTGACAGAGGCCGTGGCGCAATTGTGGGATTTCTCAAGGTTGGCTACAAGAAGTTATTTCTGCTCGTGAGTCTCTTGATATGTCTCCATCGCTTGACATGAATGCGAAGATAGACATTTTTTTGGCGGGGGGGCTCTAACTGCACCCGATGTGTTATATTCATAGGACCCGCAAGGTTTGCACGTAGAGGCGGAGCCACTCTGTGTTTTGGACTTCTTCATCACTGAGAATTTGCAGAGACACGGACACGGACTGGAGCTGTTTCATTTCATGTTGCAGGTGACGCCCTCGTACTGCGGGTTGGGAAATCCCCGTCGTTTGCCGTTGGCACGCAAAGACAAAGTGGGTCACGTAACCCAACTACAAACAACTTTGTCATCGTTGTCACCATTGCATTTGTTATGATCAGATTGAAACAGGAAAACCACTCTTGTACACATCTGCCACGGATCACCGACTGTCAGATTTTTTTGGGGGGGAATGCCGAACGCGCTCCTTGCCGTACGTTTGAAATCGGGCGCCGTGATCTCGTAGCCCGCTCTACCTTGTATTCCCGTAACAGTGTCCTGTCACGATGAGTCGAGCGTTGTTTTATCAATGAAGAAAAAAATGACGAGTGGACAGAAGTCACTCGTAGCAGTTGTGTGTATCGGGGGTGAAAAATCCATCTTAATATAAGTGGCTTTTCTCCTTTTGTTCCAAGCACAAGAAGATGGAGCCAGCGCTGATGGCGTATGACAGGCCCTCGCCCAAGTTGTTGTCTTTCCTGGCCAAGCATTACCGCCTGACGCAAAGTGTTCCTCAGGTACGTTTCGTTGACTTCCTCGTGTCTGTCGATGATCACGACTCGCAAATTCACCTCTTCGCGGATTTTTTTTTTTTAACCTATCCTGCCGTTCCTTGCTGAGACACTTGCCTTTTGGTCCTTTGGTGCACTGACTGAAATGCGCCCAAGCCCTGTCCTGTCAAAAAGTCAGAGGACTGAGAGACAAGCTTCGGATGTTGGGGCAAAGCCAAGCTTAGTTGTGAGAGCGGAAAAAAAAAAAGTCACGAGTGTCGCAGCAAAGGGAGCCTCCGCTTCGTTCGCGCTACCTCTCACGAGGGGGTCTGGCCCGCAGGCGCGGGGCAGGGAGCTTCGAGAGCTCAGGTGGAGCCAGGCCATTTCCAGATTGGAAAACGAATCGGAGGATCCTCAAAAGTGCGTTACAGTTCTCCAAACGAGATGTGAGCAAGGCATGAAGGACTTTTTAAGATAAAAATGCTGCGGATTAAAAAAAAAAAACAATAATAATAATATATTTTTTTTTTGCTCGGTGAATCAAAGAAGACATTTTGTGCGAGGTTTTGTCAAAACTCTGTCATTTGGCACTTTGAGTCATTTTGTCTTTTTTTTTGCTCCCAGGTCAATAACTTTGTGGTGTTCGATGGCTTCTTCCACAACAAATCAGGTACATTTCATGTGAATTGGAGCGTTCCAAAAGGTGTCTTTTGGCGTGCTTTTGAACATTCTGACGAAAACTGGCCTTTCGAAACTGGCCCTTTAACTCCCATTTCGTCCTCTCGACACACCCACACCCAGCGGCATATTTGTGACACGGCTCCTGTTGTTCAGCTATGTCGTGTTTTTTTGCTCGGTGAATCAAAGAAGACATTTTGTGCGAGGTTTTGTCAAAACTCTGTCATTTGGCACTTTGAGTCATTTTGTCTTTTTTTTTTGCTCCCAGGTCAATAACTTTGTGGTGTTCGATGGCTTCTTCCACAACAAATCAGGTACATTTCATGTGAATTGGAGCGTTCCAAAAGGTGTCTTTTGGCGTGCTTTTGAACATTCTGACGAAAACTGGCCTTTCGAAACTGGCCCTTTAACTCCCATTTCGTCCTCTCGACACACCCACACCCAGCGGCATATTTGTGACACGGCTCCTGTTGTTCAGCTATGTCGTGGAACGTCAAATCTCAGGTTCCAAATTCTGCGCCCCCTTCTTGGAGGCGGTGGAGTGTTTGGTCCTCTCCCGGCCTTGAGTTTGTTTTGGAAGGGCTCCGGTTGACTGGGAGGGCCGATCAACTGTTCTGTTCAACCCCAATGCGTACGGTGTCGAGATGTCAACAGTATCCGCCTGTATCGCGATACGTTGTTTCAGAATTTGCTGTCATCTGTCCAGTCACGCTCTTTCTGAACAAAGGTGGAATTCTGTTGTCCCACGAGCTTCGCTGAAGTCAAGAAGTCAATACTGCAGGTTCTCAATGCCTTCTCCTCCACAGTGGCCCAACCGAGATCGATTGCCCCGAAAAAGCCCGACGGCGAGATCAAACCCTACTCCATAGCGGAGAGAGAAGGTAGTACCCGGCAACAAAATGCTCTCTTTTGCGACGGGCGCCGTTCCCGTGACGGACGAGTGTATTTGTCACACTCTCGGTGCCGACGCCTATGCTTCGAACAAAAGGGCTCGGCCTCGTTAGACCTCGTGACGGTACCCGTCCGTCATCGGGGATTCGGTCGAGGCCAAGCAAGTAACCTGCTTGTTTTGGAGGTCGTGAGCGGTCGAGCCTCAATCCAATGATCAATTTGCTCAACAGCGGTGCGTCAGGAGCGCCGGAGTCTCCCCTGGCCGTTTGCCGCGCCCCAATCTCCCCAGCGCTCCCTCAGCGTGGGGTCCTCGCCCACCAGGGCCGTCGCGTCTGCGCCCGGGCTACGCGGGGACCAGAGCCCAAACTTTCCTCTCGGCCCAACATCCCGGGAAAGACGCCCCAGGTAAACGCACAGACCTCTGCCGGAAAGTGCATCCTCGTCTTTCGGCAGCGGATTGGGTGTGCTCGAGTGGGGTCGCAATCGGGTCTGGGAACGACGAGCACTGTCGCGGCTGTGCGGCAAGTTTCGGTCTTCGATGGACCACCAATACAACATGAGCGGTTCAAAATGTGCATCATCAAATTTCGTGCTTTGTTGGGGGGGACACAAAAAGAGCAAGAAAATACCGAACGGGTGATTTGGAGAGTATGACAAAAAGCTATTGGAACTGATTGCGTGGAATGGTCCGTATCCTCGAAGGACAACAAATAACATTGCTGCGTGTCCCTTCCTACATTCATTTGAGGAAACTCGGACGCACGCTCTTTTTTTCTTCAGCGTTGTCGAGTCATCAGCGGACACTTCAAATCAAAAACTCCTCGAACTCGTAACTCGGAGTGAATTGAGGGGCTATGAATGAGAAATTAGCCACCGTTTCCAAGACAGCGGTTGAGTCTTGTTTTTGTAACGCGTAACCTACGCCCGCAGCCACTGTTGAATCATCAGTTTTTTTTTTCACCTTTAATGACCTTTTACTCTGACGGATTCCTCCACGTACGGTGCCGTCCGATTCAGAAAGCCGAATCTATCGGGAGCGCAGCGAGCACAAAACGGACAACAAAATCATCACGTCAACGCAAAGGCCAGAAAATTCTCGACGATTGCTTCTTTGAGTCGTAGTTTCCTCCCGTTTCCCACGCTTGGAATCCGACACTTGCCAGCAGGGCGGCTCGGTGCTTTGCCTCCTTCATCTTTCACGGCGTTGCCAAGAAGCGGGTGTCAGCGTCCGCCTCAATTCCGGCTTCTAAAAGCTCTCTCTTTCTGTCTCTTTTCCACCCTCCTTTGTTCACCCACGACTCTCCACGCCCTTTTGCTTTTGAAATTCATTCGCTCATCTTTCCCCAATGTCCGTCCTATGCTTTTCATGCAATAGTTCTCTTCGTCGAGCTCAGATGGGTTTCCATTGACTTGCCCCTGCCCGCCGCCATTTGGAAAGACTGTCCGAGTTAAATCGAAAATGAAGCATGTGCCGTGAAGGCAAGCCACCCCCCCCCACCCAACACCACGTTTTTTTTTCTCTTGTTCATCAGGTCATCAGAAAGAAACACGATGGCTCTGACGTTGCCCCCGCCCCCTTTGAACGTATTAAACGTCCTAATCCACGAAATGGAAATCCAGTGTTTGAATCGTCGGCGCTTTGGCTCTCGACGCCACGCGCGTGACTTGCAAGAAAGTCGTGGTTGCTGCAAAAGCGCCTTTCTTTGGTTGTTGTTTTTGTTGTTTCCCCTCTTTTTACCTTTGACTGGCTTTGTCATCTCCCTGTGCGTTTCCTTCCCCCTTTCCTTTTTGCCCTGTTCTGTCTTTTTGTTTTTTGTTTTCCCCCCACCCATCTCCCATGGTCGCCGTTGCCTTTCTCTGCTAGCCAACAGGGTCAAGTTGCCAGAGACGGCCTGTACAGTCGCCACCTGGACCCCAAATCTTTGGGAGCGCTGGGAAGACCCCTGCCAGGTAAAGTTCACCGAGGACGCAAAGTGCTTCTGAAATCATGGTGGACAAGTTACGTGCTTACTGTGAAATCTAGGTTTTGGTGTCATAAAAAAAGACTTGAATTTTTTTTTTTTTTCGTTTGCTCTTCTGTTGAGTTCATTTTGTTTGTTTTGCTGTTTTTTATTTATTTATTTTTAATATACATTGCTGTTTTGGTGTTTTTCATTTGCTGTTGCGTTGAGGAGTTTTCCACTTGGGGGCGACCATAGGGGAGGCGTGTGCGCTGTTACCTCCAAACCAGGCAGACGCAAAGTACATGAGAAAGTCTGCGGTTCAAGCTCATCTTGTGCATTTTATTTGGAAAAAGATTGCAACTGTCCCCAAAACGACGGGCTGGCCTGGATCCAAAGGCTCATTTGCACCACCGCAGCGTGTGGGTGCTGGCCCTCCCGCTCGTGTTTTGAAACAGTCTCTCCCTCCTCAGGTGTGAGATCGGCGCAAGACCAACCAGGCATTTTGGGGGCGACGGAAACGCACAGGTTGGCAGCTATGCCGAAACTACAAAGCAGGTACAGCTTTTAGACACGCGTGTCAATGGGACGAGAACGAGACCCGACACAACGCGAACGCTAGCTTCGGGCGTGTGGAAAAGTGGTCGTTGTGATATCCAGCAAACAACCTGTCAAAACAAACTGGGGCCTACTGAGGGTTTATTTTTCAGATATCTGGGTTAGCCCAGGGACGACCAAAAAAAAAAAAAAAAAAACAGTTTACTTGCGTAGATGCAAGCGATTTCGAAACGTGGTTGTGATCAAGGCTCGGTTCCCGACAGCATAGTCTCATGATACCGCGCAAAGAAATGGAAACAAAGGACTCACCGAGGCAACTTGGCCAAATTTCATGTTCCAAATGCGCAGTCTTGGCATGCCCAACGCACGCCATTGGCTGAACATTCGAGAGAAAAGGCAAATCACAGGCCCAGAGCCAACCACGCCTGCCCTACGGTTGGATGTTGACCTGTCATTCCTTCACCCCAGGTGCGCGGCGTCTCCACGTCGACCCGCACCCGAGGACAATGGCGTTTGCGGGCCGACATCCCTCGGCAACAAAAAACTCCACCTCGGAACAGAGGCCGACGCGGAAGCGGGATCTCCCACCGGTGCCGGGAGCAGGGCGACAGCCCCGTTGCAAACTCAGACACATTCAGCGGAGGGCAGAGAGCGAGAAGGAATCGAGAGCGCCCCTTCCCACACCGGAGCCAGTGGCCACTTTTCTGCCCAGCAGGTGAAACGGATGCTGTCAAGCAGGGCCACGTGTCCGTGGTGATGCCGGGTGAGTCCAAATTTGGCGTCGCCATCCATCGTGGAAGCCACAAAGCACTGCTCTGAAAGATCTTTCCGGCATGGCCAATCATACACGGATCCATTCGGACAAGTACAAATTCGCAAATCGGACAGCCCGCACGCTGATTTTGCCCGTCCAATTAGGAAGCTGCCTGCACCACTTTTCACTTCCAGCAACCCGTGGCTCTTTCCGCCCCATGTTGCGGCTCTTCAGTTGTCTCCCGCCTCTTGGAGAAAGTGGGCTTGGATATGGGCTCCGCGCTAAGCTGAAGGCCGCCCAGCACGCGCTCAGCGCGTGACGCCCACGATGTCATTCTTTTCAGAAAATCGCCATCACCGACCGTGACTCTGAGCGGTTTCATTTAATTCAGATTTTTGAGAGAAAAATCACTTCCCTTCCAGTGCATTGGTGAACCCCCCCCTTCTCCCTGAATATAGAGCCCACATAGGGCAATCTCAAAGCTTCTTGTAATTTCACCAAATTTCTCATTGTCGTCAAAAATACTGGTTTCTTCTCATGATGTCGTTGATCTCATGATACTCGCGTATCATTTGATGACAGTGGTTTTGTTTTTTTTTCTTTTCTGTGAGGCGCAAGGACTCCTTAGTGTCCGTCTGTCTTGCTTCCGCGAGCGTGCCAGAGGTCACGGCCGATGCTTTGGCGGTCTCTGCACGCGGCTGGCCGCTAGTCGGCCTCCCGCAGTAAGCCGAGGTAGATGGTGGACTCCAGGAAGCGGGGGTAGCAGTCCGTGTCCAGGAGCGAGTAGATGCGCCTCTGCGCGTGCGACAGCGACGTGTGGGAGGGAGCCTGCAGCAGCCGCACGGTCAGATCTCTGGTCTTACTGTCGATGTTCACCTGCGGAAAGAGCGCATGACGATTGTTCACACGATATGCACTTTTTTGGTCAATTTTGGATCCATGTTTACCAAGGAGTGAAATGACCCACTCGGGCGCCGAGGCAGAACGTAAGTCGACCATCAAAGCCGTGCGCTTAAGTAGCCCTCGGATCGTAAACCATGCCCAACGTGTTCAAAATACAAGCGGTGACAGATCCACATCAAAAGAAACATTTGAAATGGTGAAGAATTGGGCGATTCCGATTTTATTGTGCTTCTCGATATGAAGGATCGGAAGGAATGAGGTGCCGACCGTTGTTGCGCGTGAGATTTGAGTCATTAGTCGCGAGAATGAAGGGGCCTGTACCTCCCGAGGTGAGCCGGCCAGGATGTAGGTCGCGCAGATGTCCTTTGCCCTCCTCTGCAAGCTGAAGTTGTTGGACGAATGTTTGTACTGCTGGCAGGCCAGATAGAACTGCAGATTTTCCTCACTGAACTCGGAACGAAGAAATGCCCCAAACACCAAAATCCCAGCTGAGAGAAGGGGAGAGGGAAAAAGATGAGTGGACCCTCAACTCTCTCCAAAGTCATATCTCGTCTCCAAATGGCACCGTGATGATGATGATGGGATCCGGCTCCCGTCACGACACTTCAGGATGAGCTTGACAGTTAAAACGGTTGAATGGCTCGTTATTTCCGGCGTAAAGGGAGACCTTTCCCGCCGTTCCGGTGAAACCCGGACATGACATAGTGCGACGGTGGGGGGGGGCAATCAGGTCACAAAGTCAAAACGCGGTATCGCGAGGGTTCCGGCTCATCTTGTTGGACAGATACTTCAAGATCTGAACTGACCCCGTATTTCACAGCAGACATTTTCAAACCTCAAATGTGTGCATTCAATCAAATGTCTTGGAGCCCGGCGGCGGGCTTACAAGTCACTGCGTGCCCAAAGGCTTTGGGAAAAGTGAGACATTCTTTCGCTCGTCCCCCTCGCAATCACACCTCGCCTCATTTTGGTGGCATTCAAAGTATGCCGTGTGTGACGCGAGTCGCGCCGAATGCGAACCCGTCTCGCTTTGTTTAGATGGCTGATATGGATGTCATGAGACGGGCACGTCGTCGTCGTCAAGGACTTGAATAACTGACGTTAATTTGCAGGTTTGGAAATCTCACGCCGCCTTTGTCATGCAAAGCAGCTCAACAAGTTCCAGCAAGAAAGGCTTTGGAACTGCAGCAATTTATATCCGTGTCGTGGTTTACTATGGCTTCTATTTATAGAAGCGGCAGGCAGGCTGGCTCGGGAAGTCCTGCAGCTCTTCTGGCATTTCTGCACGCCGTTCAAGAAGCCATCAACGTCAACATCACTTCAGTCACTGTCGGACTCGGATAAAAGTCGGGAAGCGAGAGTGCGGGCGCTTCTTTCCAAATTCGGCCAGTTCAGTCTGCAGCCTAGAGAATTCCCGATCAACTCTTGTGTTTTTATTTTTATTTTTTTTTCCTGACTACAAGTCGCACTTTATTTTACTTGGCTTTCTAGTTTGGCTGCGACTTGTCCAGATGAAAATTAGAACTCTGACCGGGGCCCAAAAGCCGCGTTCCCGGATTCAAAACGCCCGGAAAACTTTTTTCTTGTTACTTGAAAATGAATTGCACCGGTAGAATTGCGGTCGGCGAGTGTGGCTTTTGGTGCTAGAGTCCAATCCTGGCGGTGGCAGCAGACTCGTGACAGAATTGTCGTGACAATTTTTTATTTTTTTTGCCTTCTGTTGGTCAATGGGAAAGAGAGAATATGCCAATTGGTTGCCACGGATCACTACTACCCGCTAATTTCAGTGGCAAAGGGGTATATGAGTACATTTATTTATTGATAGTGATTTATATCGATATAGATTCGTGTCTGTTCCGAGAGAGAGAAATTAAATAAAGCCTACTGGGGGAGCAAAAGGATGCGCTTTTCTTTTTCCAAAACGACAGCTATTGCATTTAGCAAGGTTAGGTTGTATGCATGTCTGCATTCCCATTTTGCAGCATTCTTTGTCTGCACCTTAGACCCCCCACCACCCCATCCCTTTTTTTTTGTTTCGCTTTCTCTCCATGTTGCCAACTTGCCACTCCTTGAACACGCACTCTGGGAAACTCGCAGTGGCAGCGATAACACACAGTGCGGGGGAGGGGAGGGTCCACTTTGTGTACTCGATTGAAAATGGAGACAACGAGGAAGTATTTTGAGCAAGTGAGAACTGACTCTGACTGGCCAGCAGGTTGTCCAGGGACTGGGCCCATCTTTCCAGTTCTTCTCGACTGATGCCGTGCCTCTTACTGTGGCCCACCTGGCTCCACTGACGCATGAAGAGCAGCCGTGACCTCCTCTCTTTGGCACTGTACACAGGCAAGACAACAGAGATGACAACACACACACAGAGAGAGAGAGCGAGAGAGAAGAGGCGAGCGGCGTTCTGGACCCGTTTGCAGAGGATTGATTGGCTGACTCCAAAGTCAAAAGTGCATGAAGGTAACCCAGCCCGGATGTGGCCAAGGCACCAAGGACTATTTCAAAGTGCTCGCGGGAGAAAGGAGAGAAGCTGGATTGGACAACGGCACCACTCGGCCGCTCCAGTTTCAAATCACTGTCCGCTTTAAGAGCCAAGTATTGAAGAAAAACATCCTTATTCTTGATTCAAATCCTTCCGCCCTACTCTGATGTAACACCACACAAAATCTCATGCATAAAGTACCGAGCGCGTGTCGAACTCTTACCTGTCTTTGTGTTCTGTGTTTGAAAGGTTGGAGTTTGAGGAATGGGGACTCTGAAAGACACGACATGGTTCACATGCAAGCCTTCCACTTCTCGTAATTGACTGCGATAGATGACTCCATTACGTATGGGAGTGCGCAGTGTGACCAAAAAAAAGACAACTCTGAAGACAAGTGACTAAAACCACTGTCCCTTCTGTCTTCGTTTGTTCGCTGAATTTGACTAAACAAACCAAACATCATGCGCTCGGACACGTGAGAGTGAAAGTCAACCCCAAAAACAAAACAAAGAGGCCTTAGGCAGACCGTATGTTGGAAAACTACTCCAAAGTGCTTTCATGATCTGGTGGTGGGTTGTTTTTTTTTTCTTTTTTTACGGTCAGTAATTGCCTTGATTCGATGGATCGGTGTATGTGGCCCGTGCGCAAAGTTCATTTTGGAAAAGGGGATCCTTTTAAGAAAATGTTCAAGTGTCTGCTTTAGTTTGAGTTTCTCCGACTTTCACAGATGGAGATCATCTCACTCTGTCTTTTGTTTTGAACATTTCGCCCTTTTGAGTGTGGTGTACTTTGAAGATGATTTGAGTTTGAGTACCCTGGAAACGACTCGATTCAGAACAGAGGCAAGAGCCCTTTTGAGTGTGGTGTACTTTGAACACGAGTTGATGATTTGAGTTTGAGTACCCTGGAAACGACTCGATTCAAAACAGAGGCAACTCTTTCTCAATAAGAAGCGTTTCAAGGTCCGGGGCAAAATTGTCGTCCAACTTCATCCCACCCGTCGTGGTAGGGACAACCACCATTTTATGAAGTTGGATCTATTGGATTTTCTTCTTTTTTTTGTTGTTGTTTTTTTGGGGGGATTGGGGGGGCAGGTTTTCTGGCACTATGTTTTCTCCAAGAACAGAGGCAAGTCTTTCTCAATAAGAAGCGTTTCAAGGTCCGTGGCAAAATTGTCGTCCAATTTCCTCCCACCTATCGTGGTAGATACAACCACCATTTTATGAAGTTGGATCCATTGGATTTCTTCTTTTTTTGTTGTTTTTTTGGGGGGTTTGGGGGGGGCAGGTTTTCTGGCACTATGTTTTCTCCAAACTGGCATTCACAGCAACAACTTGAACGTTGTCTCATCAGACCAGAGAATTCGGTCTGCCGTGGTCTGAGAAGCCTTTGGGCTAACTCGCGGGAAGCTGCCATGTGTCTGTTCGTGAAGGAGCAGCGTCAATCTGGCTGCTCGCTTAGACTCGTCTGATTGGTGGAATGCCGCTGGTGGAATGCCGCGGGGACGGCTTGTCCTCTTGCCGCCGAGGATCGGTGGCGTTTTGATGCACTGGGCGAGTCTTAACTCTTTCATTCCACAAGATGTACTTGTACGTCTTTTTAAAATTAGGCCCTGCCTACCAAGGACGTACTTGTACGTCAAAGTCTTTTTTTTTTGCGTCATAGAGAGGAGGAGGGTCTAATGCAATCTGTGAATGAGAATAAGCCGTTTGCATTGTAAATTATGTAAAAAAAAAGTGACCAGTAGGTGGCAGTGGTGCCTCACGTGATTGAAACGCATGCTTTTACAAAAAGCTCTTTTTGTCCATTTTTTGCCCAGGAATCGCCATTTTCATGAAACTTAGCCATTTTGTGTAGCCGATTGCTGAAGAATGGAAAAAGATTTTCTGCTGAAAGAAGAGAGTCCAAACTTTATTTTGGTAGGCTCCATGTTTCTAGCGCATTAGAACCAAATATTCTCTGGGCCTTGCAAAATCAGTCAAAATCCAGTAAAATGCTGGGATTGAGGGGGTTGCTCCAGTGAAAATGGCTGGGATTGAATGAGTTAATTGGGGACCTACCTGGCCAAATAGACTCTTGAGGTGCAGTTTGGCAGCCGAAAGTTTGGCTCGATGTTGCGATTTGAGGACGAATGGATGGGCGGCAGATGAAGTGGATGGAGAAGCGAGGTCTTCTCTGTCGACACCGCCGATGCTCTCCTTTGCCGCCGGGGCCAGTTGGCTGTCACTGTAGGCCCGGCAGCCCTCGCCAATGGCAGCCACTTCAAGGTGGTGGCTCTTGCTCTTCTTCTCCTGCAGGTCTCTCAGGTTCTCCACACTGACACTAAGCTCCTTCGTCAGTTCTTTCTTGCTAACTTTGCAAGCGCTGGGCTCCTGCATGGCAGGAAGCTGCTCGGTATCTTCCTCAACTTCAGCAACAGAAGATGTGCTGTAGTCCCGCTGGTCGTCATGCTCCGTTCTCTTTAGGTCTACCTTCCTCCACGAGAAGAAATCAAGATCCAGGAGGGATCCCTCCGAGCTGAATCTCCGCAGAGTGGCCATGGGAGATGATGATGATGATGGTGGTGATGATAAGGGGCCGTGAAAGGAAGGAACTTCTGCAGACAAACAGTGGGCGGGGGCGAAATAGGTCAAGGTACAAAGAACTAGGGCAGAGTTTGAGTCCGAGGCGCAGGCTGTTGAATGAAACGGATTGTTGGGCAAGTGTTAAAATTGGACAATGAGTCAGAAGGAGTTGCTCCACAATGGCAAAGAAGTGAAGACACAGCAGGAATTATTCACTTATTTGGTCATGTTCATTTCGCCATTCAGAGACCACATGGGAAACCGCTTCAGGAAGGAGAGTGCGTTTTTCATTGACATGATTAAATTACTTCGTTCTTGGGGAACCATTAAAGTAGGGTCAACATATTTTGAGCCAAATGAATCCATAAATCAACATGATAACCCGCCGTAATCCACAAGCCTAGAATTGACTTGAAAAGAAAATGTGCGATAACAAACAAATGGGCCAAAGTCGGATTTGGGTCTTTTTTGAACCACCGAAGTTTGAACATGCGTTGAAGTAGTCCCGTATCATAAATGAACAAACTTGGCGTGTTACATGGGATTACCTCTTCTTCCAGGTGTTTTAGGCTCTTTCCATTGTGGATCTTGAAAGGTTCTCACGGGCTGCTGTGCATGGACTAAAAAAAAGAAAAAGGCTCCGAGTCCGCAAAAGATGACTTCAACCAGCGTCGTCCCCGCGGCAGTCCTTCGTGAGTGTGCGGCTGACTCGCATCGGGACTCCCCTCCTTCGAAAAGATCGCCGCAGAAATGAATTAACGAGTGTCGCACAGTGAGAACGAGATAGAAGGGAAAATTTCGAGTGACACTTGAGACAGCCCCTGGCCTCCTTCCCATGACTCCAGCCACACCTTCACGACTGTCTGAACTTGTCTGAGGACACAACAACACGCGTACAGGAGGTATGACAACCCAGTGCTCGAGTCATAAGCGAGAAAGAAAACAGTTGTCTTCCTCTGCGTGCTATCGGAAGATTTATATCGGTGACTTCGATACCGTAGCAAGAATACACCATAGCGAATTTTGTGTGCAACCGCTTTATCTACCATATTGTAAATGGAAGATTAAAATAATATTGTTGTTGCTTTTTAGTACATCCGAAGTCAACATCAAGTGGCATTTGAACACTTCGATACAAATAGAACAAGAAGAAGAATTGACGACGGGAACGAAAAGACGCTCAGGCATGAAACGGACGCCTGCGAATGATATACGTCACCGGGGTCCTTTGACGCGGGCGCATTCTTTTAGTTACGAGTTTCTCCCTCCCAATTGGACTCGACGGCGTGTGCCGATTTTCGGATATGTCGCCTTACAGCTCAAACGCCGTTCGTTGATTTTTGATCGAAAACGATTTGGAGCAAACGTGTCGTTCGTTATCTTGCTCGTTCCCGGCGGCTGGGATCCGCTTCACGTCAGCGTGCTCCAACGGGCTAACTCCAATACCAAGGTTCGTATGTTGGACACTACACGCCGTTCTGGATGCTTTTATTTCTTTACTATACTGTATGTATGAAATATAGTTGCGACTCTTCTCCCAATTGGACTAGACGGCGTGTGCCGATTTTCGGATGTGTAGTTTTACAGCTCAAACACCGTTCGTTGATTTTTGATCGAAAACGATTTGGAGCAAACGTGTCGTTCGTTATCTTGCTCGTTCCCGGCGGCTGGGATCCGCTTCACGTCAGCGTGCTCAAACGGGCTAACTCCAATACCAAGGTTCGTATGTTGGACACTACACGCCGTTCTGGATGCTTTTATTTCTTTACTATACTGTATGTATGAAATATAGTTGCGACTGTTGGCGCTGCTTTGCCAATGCCCTTGTTTTAAGTTAGTATCACGAAAATTCCACGCAGTAAAATACAATACAATACATCCCGACATATATAGCGGTAGCTGGAACAAAGCGCTTCACAAAACAGTTAATACAAAGTAAAATAATAAACACAACACATAACATAAAAACACGGACAGTCGTGCAACCTCAACCACTTTTCCCTCATACGCTTTGTTTGAAGCGCGTTGAAAATAGCTGTCACATCAGGCATTTCGGTGTACTTAACTACTGGTGCTGCTTTGCAAATGCCCTTGTTTTAAGTTAGTGTCACGAAAATTCCACGCAGTAATATACAATACATCCCGACATATATAGCGGTAGCTGTAACAAAGCGCTTCACAAAACAGTTAACAGAAAGTGAAGTAATAAACGCAACACATAACATAAAAACACGGACAGTCGTGCAACCTCAACCACTTTTCCCTCATACGCTTTGTTTGAAGCGCGTTGAAAATAGCTGTCACATCAGGCATTTCGGTGTACTTAGAGTGTACATTATGCTTACCGCTTCATTTGCCTCTCATGAAGCATCACTTGCAATGTAAATGGACCTGAGTCATTATAAATTACGATGCTGAACTTGCCCTGACAATCAAACTTATACTGAACCCAATGAATTAATGTATTCGACTAACCTTTATGAATACATCACATTCAGCGTCCTCCAAGATTTTTTTTCTCTCCCAGAACCATATTGGGCTAAGTGTGTGTGTGTGTGTGTGTGGGGGGGGGGGAAAGTGTGAACTATTTCACTTTGCTCCGTTTAACTTGCAGCCTCACGCCTCGAAGTTTGAGCCCCACTCCCACTAGTCCTTGCAGTCCGTGCAGCCCTCTGCACGCCTTTCACTTCTCGCGTTGCCAGCAAATTGCAGGGCACACATAGACAAACAACAACAACAACCAACCACACCTAAAGATTTTGAAATATATTTTCAACAATATCAAATAAAATGCTGGAACGGTTTAACTTGAGCTACATAGATTTCTATCAATATGGCGGAAGTATCGATTGAATCAATGCAGTTAACAGTCCATTTATACTCCAAATTCCCACTACCCTTTTATTTTTGGATTCAAGTTCGACCTAAAGCCTGAAGCGCCATCCCACTTTTGATGAGCTCCCAATGCCGAGGAGCACACATGAGTCCTGCTCATCAATGTGGCGGAAGGATCGATTTAATCAATGCCTTTAACAGTCCATTTATACTCCAAATTCCCACTACCCTTTTATTTTTGGATTCAAGTTCGACCTAAAGCCTGAAGCGCCATCCCACTTTTGATGAGCTCCCAATGCCGAGGAGCACACATGAGTCCTGCTCGTGCAACTTGTTCCTCAAGCTTTGTGTCATTGCTCGCAGGTCAAGAGCGACGTCAAAATGCAAGACGAAGAAGATCCAGACGACAACGCTGAAAGGTTCCCCAACACACGTGGAGCTCTCTCCGCAGATGACGCCTAAATCTGCAGCAGCTAAATAGCAAGAATCCAATGCAAGTGCGGCACGATAGGACATGAAATCTTAGTTGAGTGTGAAAGAACCGGAGCAGATGCTGAACAAGCCAGACCACTCGTCTTGCCTCAGGTAAGGACGCCGCCCGTGCTTTAAAACGGGCGTTCTTGTGCTGCTCTCTTACTTGGATGTGGGCCCATTTCAGCCACAAGCAATCATGGGCGCTCACAATTTTTTTTTTTTTTGATAGTGTGGGGATTTTTCCATGGTGGCCCGAAACATGACAGCCACAGCTGCCGGGAGCAGGATGACGAGAAGGTATGGCCGTTTGTACTGTAGTCTGGACCATCTGCAAAATAGCTTGGAAAAACGAAGCCATGGGATACAAAACGTTTTCTTTGAATGCTATATGACGACACATTAGGAATCCGGTGTCAAATTAAAACGACTGTCAAGTGGAACGTCGTACTTGTACATTTGACTGATTGAAAGAGGAATGGGTAGTCAAGTTTGGACAAAATAGTAAATGAATAGCATTTGAGGACCCTGGCGGGAAGGAGGCACATTTGGTGTTGAAACCCGACAGTGAGGCGGTCACACCACCCGATTTGTATACAGCAAGGGTTGTTTTAAAGTGCTCTATAAATGCAGTTTATAGAGCACTGGGGAAGAGAGAACAACGGTTTCGGTGGAACAAAAATCTTTTTGAAAACAGTAGGCGATGAGGACTCAAGCTGCTTCTTTCAACAGTTCTTTATTTCACTCCTTGTCACACGAGGTTGAGTCCTGTCACTTCAGTTGAGAAGGATGTTTACATATGGAAGCAGATCGAGAACCATGCTGCTCAAACAATAATATTAATAATAATAATAATAAACCCACGTGAACAATTATGATCTAACTGGGACTTTGGCGCAGAACTATACGTTTGTACCTGGGCGTTGATGCTACTTGAATCTCTTCATTACGCACATCAGCCAACGTACGTACGTCATACGTATATACAAAATACAAAGACTTTGCGACTGTTCGTCCGGTTGGCATTCGTGGGAAATTTATTGAATAGTGACGAGAAGCACTCTGGCCGGATCAAAGTAAGCTGTGACTCCATTTCTGTCCTGGAAAAGATCATGCAAACCAAACTGGACAGTTCAAATATTTTCCGCATTAAATAAATCCCGTGACTCCATTTCTGTCCTGGGAAAGATCATGCAAATCAAACTAGAACAGATTGAGCCCTGCATTGGTGGACAGTTCAAATATTTTCCGCATTAAATAAATCCAGGCTGACCCGACAACACCTTGGAGTGCACAAAGACTTAGTAGTATCGCTAAGTCCAGATGAACGTTTCACCCGACTTACGGCGAGCGAGTTATTTCTTTCTTTATTTTCAGTCCTTGCTGTCGTATTGCACACGAACAGCTTTTGCGCATCCTAGTGGACAATGAAAATAGGGAACTCGATGAAGCATTTTAGCCATGACAATATTTGCGCTGGTGAGGACGACGACGACCAACATCGCCTCAGATTCAATTTGACGTCCTTGCAGTGCATCCTGACCTTGGGAGGGGAATCGTAAGCGTTCCTTGCCCCTGGCGAGGCCATGTTGTCTTTCAACAAAGACGGCGACAACGCTCGGTTCGGAGTAAACGGAGTAAGCGCCGAGTTGACCAAAACTTAGGGTGCCGCCATTGTTACCACTTGATCCCCGCGGGCGCTCCTTTGCCGACAGCGCAGCCCAGATTTGGCCGTTGGTCATTCTCGCCCCTGCCGCGGCGAGGATAAGAGCAGGGGCAGCAGATTGAGAGCGGGTCGGTTCTCCTGCACCCCCAGAGCCACTAAAGCGCCGGCCAGGAGGGACGTGACCCCGGGCAGGGCTGGGGGCTGAGCCGGCATCACCTGCACAGAGATAACGGCGGCGGGAGTTGAGCGTGACGTCGTGCCCGCCGCGTCCGTTTCATTGGGGCATGTGCACGCTTAAGTGTCGCCGGCTCTCTTCTTTGCGGATGACCAACCCGCGCCGGTCACAGAAATAGGTTCAATCTAACCAACATTGAACAAACAAATCTCAAGCCAGGAAAATCGGACTTGGCCTTTGAATGACTGGTCAAAAGCAGCTCGTTGCGGAGACAAGACTCAGGTTGGAAAAATGCAACCTTTGCAACAGGAGAGTCTTCTTCGGTTAAAAAAAACAAAGATATTGACATATATTTATATTTCTATCACAGACATACTTTGAAAGGGGGTTGGGACGCATTTACGCGAAGCGCTGTAACGTCTGCATGAAACCAGCAAGCCGCACACACACGACACACAGCGGGTTTGTTACCTTTTCAACTTTATGACAATGGATGAGTCCGTCGCGTCCTACGTAGAATGTGGAGAAAGCATCGTAGCACCTGGAACAGATGCCGTTCATTAACAGTCACACACAGCGTGTTTTTTCCCCACTGAATAAATGCCACGCTTGGAAATTCAATGAAGCATCGCGTTTGTTGCCGCTGATCATAATTTCAATATCAATCAAAACTAATCCAGATGATGAGCTTTCCCAGAATGGCCCCGCCCCCTACCCGCTTTGACCCCCCTTTTCCGTCAATTGGCTTTTCGCCGCCATCGCTTTGCGGACAACGCCGGGCTCGACCTTTCCTGAAAACCAAACGGCTCATTTCCTTTTCGCTCACCGGAATTAAACTCTCGATTCCCCTTTCACAGAAGTTCCACAGTAACTTGAATAAAACAAACAGCTATTAACAATAACAGCTAAAAAAGGACGGAGATAGAATTGCCGATTTGAGCTTGACCGACACCCGAAACGGGATGGGAAAACCGGTTACCTGTACAGGGGCGACTTGTCTTTGCGGTAGAAGCGCAGCATCAGCGTAAGGAAGGGAAGGCCCCTGAGCCTCCAGCGAGCCTTAATGCTCCCGTCTTCCATGTGCTTGGTCAGTTTGAGCACCTCCAGCTGGGCGTCGGCGAAATAAAAGAGACACGCCAGGCGCCAGAGCGAGAGGGTGAACCGGTACGCCGCACGTCCTCTGCGGGTTGAATGACACAGAGTCAGACACCGAGTCAGCCGAATCGCTCGACGATCTGGCAGCGCGGCTACCTGGTCTTGGTGTCCAGAAGTCCGTTGATGAACTCGATATCATTGGAGTACATGGTGTAGTCGTGATTCTTACGGAAGAAATTTGGAAGCTGCAAAGCATCATTTGGAATTAGGAAGGAAAACAAAACGGCATCGATGACACAACATCGCCAACTGCGCTCGTTTTCCTGATGACCACCTGCGACCGCGTGGGCAGTTGCGGGCTGTTGAAAAAAACAAATAATAATAATAATTTAACCCCCGTCTCACTGAATGCCGTTCGAGATTACTTGATGGTCAAAATAATGTCGTTGACTGGTGACCTGATTTGAAAGCGCAACTGCACATACGCAAGCTTGGATGTGAGGAAGTAAGTGGTTGCGTTTGAGATTTTCAGCTGCTCGAGACGCAGTGCGCATACCTCATGCCGGAGTCTTTCGTATGCCAAGGCCAGCTTTTGCTCTCCTTCGCCGTCTCCTTCGCGGCGCGATGCCTCGGTTCTTGCACGGCGGCTACACAGAGAGGCGGCGCGCGGCGAGGCCAAGGCCTCCGCCTTGTTTCTCTCCGATCCAACCTCCCGCCTCAAGTTCAGCCCGCCTGGGGCCATCGCTTCCGTTCCCGGGGAACGGAAGCAGTAAAAGTGAGAGCCGTACGCGAAAGGCGCGGGGCAACTCTCCGCTTCAAACAGGCTTCGAAAACACCCGTGCCGCTGTCGCTTCTGCGGCTGGCCGCCGCTTCTCCCGACGTCGATGTCGTCCTCTTTGCTGCCGTCCACCGCGGTCAACAGGAACAGCAACTCTGAGCATTTGCGCTTCCCCGGAGCAAGTAACTCTGCTACTTTGGTCTGAGTCGAGAGCGGGATCTCCGCTTGACTTGACTCCTTTGGCCGCACAGGTGCGCACGGGTCGGGCGAGTCGTCCCAGTCCTCCTCATGGCAAGCGGCCGGTTGCAGCCGGCTGGCGTGATGGAAAGGCCGCGACGGAACCGCTGGCTTGGCCGTCCGACTACTCAGACTGGTGGGCGGCGCCGGGGCCCTTGTCGCGTCGCCGGGCGGGCGCGCGGGGCAGATCCACCGCAAGTCGGCCGGCTGAAAGAGAAGCCGACTCAATTTATCTCCAGAATGAAAGCGGCCGGTGACGCGCTGAGATTTCTCGGCAGCAATCGGTAGGCCGCGTCAACCTTCCTTTCAATCGAAACAAATGGAATGGTGACATCATTCCTGCCTTCCCAATTGCCAGGCCGACTGAGTAAGAACGTTAAAAAGATGTGAGGTGGCGGCCATTCACAAAGCAGCAGGAGAGCTCGAGAAGTCGATTTGGGATGGCGGCGCCTCCAAAGACTCCACTAATAGAGTGGCATCAAACGAAAAGAATTTGTTGTCAAAGGGAGGACGCTTCACCGTGCCATTACAGCCCAGGTGGAGAACGGACCGCCTCAAATTCTCTGATCGTCTCAAACTCAAGGCCATCAGTCTTCGATGGCAGGATTAATCAAGGAATGCTTTCACACGATGGAACACTTAACTGATCAAGTATGTTTGCCGTCAAAGAAGGTGTGTGTCTGTTGAATTTTCAGACGACGGGCACGTCGTGGCGCACGGTCAGGACGCTATCGTCGCTGCCTCAACGGGAGCCGGGGCAAAGCCCGCCGATGAAGTCGTGCCTGGGAGCGAGCCAATCACCTGAGCGAGACTCCCGATGTGCTTGGCGATGGGCTGCCTTCCGCCGCGGATGCGGACGCAGGCCGCCCACAAGGCGACCCGCCCCCTGCTTCCAGCCATTCGCCTCAGGGGCCCACACCACCGCAGTCAGTGCGTCACCATTGCGCGCGGCAAAGTCGCATCGATGATCCCCTCCGATTGTGTTTTTCTGCGGCGAGCCAGGATCGAACCTCCCCCTCGAGTGAGACACAAGGAGAGAGAAAGCGAGCAAGGAGTTGAAAGACTAAGCGTAGCCTGGACTTGACCGCATGCATGAAAGCGACCCCTTCGACTTCCATTTTTCTGTCTATGGCCCTCCGACAAAAAGGTTTGGACACCCCTGAGTTAAGGCATCCTTTCACAATGTATTTTTGGGGGGGCTCCACAACCTAGTCTGTCTGTGTATGTCCATTTATTGACTTGTCCATCAAACGAGAACTAATGATGTTGATCATCAGCTATTGGTTTTTTTTTTGCCCATTTAAGCTTAGCATTTTAGAAAAATAGGAACATTAGACCAACCTCAAATGTAATTGCAGACATGATGGATTCCTACGTCTTACTCAACAGACGCTATTTCCACGGCATGCAAGTTGATTCCTTGACAGACTGGATCATTTTGCTCTGTAATTTGAATTCTTCAAGTTGGAACGGTGGCAGAAATTTTAGGGCATAGCGATTGTGCGACAGGGGCTCTGTCGCTGCACAAAATGCTGGGTAAATCTTTGGGCTGAGCAACGTTCGCATCCTTGACATTTCAAAGGCTCACCTAGCCCCTGACCTGCCTCACGCAGCCCACAAGCTTAGAATGAGAACCCCTCGGAGAAGCTGAAGTGTAATTAACCCGTTGGCAACAAACGACTACATTTCTCTTCCAAGTACGGGAGTGAAGAAGTGAGAATAAACATTGAAAATTATAAATAAATGCTGATTTTTTTGTTTTTAGCATGTACTCGGATAAGCTTCTTAAAAGTAGTTATTTTTGGGTGATGGGCATGTCCCACTTTCCTGACAAAGCATGCTTTCAGTATCCGCCACAGTAAAATATTTCCTTTTGTTGATTCTAGTTTCATCACGTGACAATGATGCTGTGTAAATATGACAATAATTTGAGATCTTCGCGTTGACCGACAATATGGGTACATGCGATCATGACACGGCATTATGGCGTGAAAAAATAACGGGATCCTTCTAACATACGTCAAATGCAGTATTAAAACACACGTACGCACACAACACAATGGTCAAAATCAAATGTTGGGGTCATCTATACAGTGGCATAAACTCTTCCCAGTTAGCAGACATTAACTGCAAACGCGCGTTATTTTCCCGGAACCATCAATCGGCCTTTACGCCAAATGAGTCGCTTCCGCAATTTCCTCCACACGAGCTCTTCACCTGCAACATCGGCACGACTTGGCATTTGCCGGTTGGCTAGCGCGAACGGGCTAAGTGGTACCGGCCCATGCTATGCTAACTAGCAGCCAGCTCGTCCCGGACAAACCAACGTCCCTGTCACGTAAGCGTCACCTGACGAGATCATCTGCTAAGACGTCGGCCACAGGTCTACTCGCCACGTGTTGTGCACTATTCACATTTGCGATCACCCCAAATGTGAGCTCGTGCTCTTCATGACTGCTCAACTTACTCAAGTGTCACCCAGTCTTGTGTGCCCTTGTCTTGGCCAAGCACGCCTCTTACACACAGGAAGGCGTCACGCTGCCTTCGGCGACCGTCGGGAAATTGCTCGATTGTCGTTGCGCATTCCCAGCACAGTGTCTCTTTGTTGCGGAAACGGGCAAAGGTCCTAGAATGTGCGCGTCGGGTGGCGTAACGTTGTGTTTTGAAGATGTCCGGCTACGATTTTCTTCAAATTGGCTCTCATGTCTTTGACGTCAACGGAACGCGCAGTCCCGAGTCATTCTGAGCGGCGGGCGGTGTGTTTCGGGATCTCGGAAAAAAGGCGACTGAGTGCGCCCGTCGACTTCGCTCCCAAAAAGAATACACCGCGTCAAAACCAACACACAACGTGACTGAGAATCCAGAAGACACGCTCTTGCCTAACAGACGCGGTCGCGATGACGAAAAATCCCGATGGTTCACGAATATCGCGTCGATTCAACGATTACAAGTCACTAAGCAGTGTTGTGAACTTCATTCTACTGCAAGTCACCGACTTTTGTTGAATGCGATGTGCTTTGCCGTTTCAATCAGATGGTATGAAGAACCCCCAAGCCGCGAGATCCACAACTCACTGCTTCACTTGCCCCCCAAGCCCACACAGTGCACGCCTTTTGAAAAAGATGTTGAAGTCGCCCGAATGCGAAGTTTTGCTTGCAGTAATCAATCACGATGAGCGTGACGCCGGTGGTTTTTCCAGACCAGTATGTGGCGGTAAAGCGTCCGAATTTGCACCAGGAACAAAATGGAGGACACTCACTTTTCCCAAACTACTGGCAAACACGTTGTCGACAGAGAAGAAAAAGAATAATGTTGTCATAGCTTTTGACATTTAAGGCGCCTGAGCTCCGAAAGAATACCCGGTCTTACATTGTCAAATACGCTCTTGTGTTCGATCACGTGACAGGGGGGATCCCTTCGGGTGTACCTGACTAGGGAGGCCAATTACATAACTTAAAAACATTGATTCACGTCAATTTACGGAAGCAAAGATTTTCTCAGAACGACACACGGCAACAACGTTGGGCCAACAGTGAGAAATTTAGATCGTACCAACGTGCAAAGGCAGGTTGGTACCTATTATGTCATAGTACAGTATGCTACAGTTGTATGAAAATGGCTTCTCTCAATAAGAAAACACGCGCAACTCCACTGCAACCCAGATCATACGATATAGGAATTGAATCATGCGTGCACGAGGGTTTAAGTGTCAGCCTTTTGTTTTTAGAACTGCAGAAACCAAGAAATTGGACTGGACAATATTTTTTGTTTTGCATTTATTCACACAATGCATTTTTCTTTGACATGTCAATTCACACTCCAGTCGAGCAGGGGGCAGTAATGCACCATCACAGTCGAAGAAGAAAAAGAAGCGTCTCGTTCACCCTGCTGGGCCGAGTCGCATTTTTGGGGCTCTGATACCGGCGTGAAGTAGGATACTTGAATCCAACTGTTAGATTACGGAACGAAATGCCTAAGAAAGGGAAAGAAGAACCAGTGTGGGTAGGCGATGAAGATCCCCCGACAACAGGTCAGTTTAAGCGGTCATTAGGGTGGCTCAGTCGCCACGCTAGCAGCCGGTGGCTGTTGCGCCAGCCATCCATTCACGACTCAAACGTCAAATAACTTGTTCGTATGAAGAGTAGTTTCTATCCAAGTGCAAATGGGGCTCTTTCGAAGCTCAGCTCAGCTCAGCTCATCCTACCTCGCATTATTAATGAATCGCTAGCTTTGGAACTAGCTTCGAATGCCTCTATTGAGCTGGCGGAGGTGTTATGGAACAGTTTGCCTGGGGTTGGACGTCGCGTTAAAGGGACATGTGCGGAAATGATGCAATGCTGTGATCGGCATGGCCAAAGAGAATCGCGGGAAATGGACACCGTCGTGCAATAAAAACAAAAATCGGATCGTTTACCGCATTCAAGTACAGACTCTGAAATGTACCCGAGTCCAAAACCATTACTGGTAACGTACAGTCCATTCGATACAATGTCCTTTTGGTTTGGGTACGTCTCTTTTCTTCAGTGCAGAGAAAATAGTTGCCAAGTCGAAGACGATCGAGCAAGTGTTGGCTCCAGTTCCTGTGTCATCCAAAGAACTTGGATCACGAGAACTACCAAAACCATACCTTACCTGAATCGTTTTTCTTTTTTCAGATTCGACAAGACAATTCATGCGTCACAAATAATTCTTGTAGCCAAAACACGGGCTATTAAATTAGAATATCATTGAAAGTCGTGTACATTCACTGCATGTGAAGTGAAATAGTTGATGATTTGTATCATTTTGATGCAAAAATTCACACAATTGCGCTGGAGAATACATTTGGACTAGCTAACTAGGCTAGCTATTACTGTACCTCTGTAGGAATTGAGACACTCGGTTTGTTGTAAATTTCCTCGTAAGCTGTCCTAATTTCTGAAAAGTGTTCTATATTTTGAGATCCAATGTGCTTTCACCCCGCAGAAAAAGCTGTGAAAAGGGGGAAGAAAGATAAAAAGGGGAAAAAAAGTGTGAGTACTTGTCAACGTGTCAATCTCCCTGTTTCAAGTTGCATGGCTGACATTTGCCACGCTTTGGACTTACTTGATTTGCTTTGAATTGTGTTTTCCTCCAGTTTTTTGAGGAAATCCAGACAGAGGACATGCCTGAAAAGGAAGCTGAGTTTCCTGCGAAGGATGCCAAACAGGTGATCTATGCTCAGAGTAGCGTTTGGTTGTTGTTGACATTTTATTTTAGTACGGGGTCCATTCATTCCATTGACCCGCTTTCTGAAGCAAAAACGTGGAAGAGAATTTCTTTCTTTCTTTCTTTTGTTAATGGACCAATGACCTTTCATTAAGATGGCAGCCCTAAAGTTGAACACGCTCCGTTCCAGGGGCGTTTGAGTCTGAGAGCAAGTTGTGAACAATGCCACCTTTTAGAAGGCCAGTGAATGTGCTCCTCGGGTCACTCGCTTGCCATCATCAAAGCATTCTTTATTCTATTGCCGTTGAATCCGAGGCGGTCTCTTCAACCGATGGTTCACAACTTTTATTCATCGGCCGTTGTGTGGACACACTGGAACAAACATGAACTACAATGAATAACTCCAACAGAAAGTTTTGCACACCCTTGTAACGAGCTTGAAACCATATACCATAAATGAATTACCTTCAATTCAAATAATGACCTTTTGTAGCCCACGTTGGACATTTCATTTCGGTGCCTGCCCAGTACACATGCCAATTACACATCCTCTGGTCAGTGCGTCTAAACGCATTCACTACTTCCGCAGCTATCTGCAATTAGTGTTCTCGCCGATGTCCTTTCAGCCTCATAAAAAGAAAAAGGACCGCCGCAAAGGAAAAGGTGCAGATGCGGACAACGACAGCGACGAAGATGTCATGCTGAAGCTGAAAAAGCTCTCGGTTCAAGCTAGTGATGAGGAAGACGAGCACGGTAGGAAAGCCTGGCGCCCAAGTTGTTCTCTCAGTTTTAGTCACCGCACTTCTTCAAGTGTCTTTTTCCTCCCCGCAGTTGTGGCCCCCAAGAAAGGAAACAAGAAGAACAAGGTTTGCCCTCGTCTGTTCCCACCGCCGTCGCCAACGCCTCTTCATCTGTGTCAAGAGTTTGTGTCGTCCTTCAGGGTGCGAACATTTTCGCAGCTCTCAGCCAGGGACTGAGTGATGAGGAAGACAACTGTGATTTGGATGAGGAAGTCGAACCGATAAAAAAGGTATTGTCTTACTCCTCCGAAGCAGTGACAATCATTGCAATAAATCAGTAACAACGATGGTAGAAAGCACCAAACTGTTAAACCAAGATCAAATCAGAGTCAGCTTTTGAAGCTGGATCCCCCCCCCCCCCCCAAAAAAAAATATGGCGTATATAAAATGCTGCAAATAAGAAGTGGATTCAAAATGTGTGACAGTTGGCACTGACAGATTTAAAATGGATGATATCTTGTAAATATTTGACAGAAATATATTTCACGGTTGTTTTCGGAGGCTAACTCTCCCAATTTGTACATCTTGCATCCAGCAGGCTGAGAAAGGCGAGAAAAAAGATGAAGCTAAAGCCAAGGTGAAGGTGGGTGATGGACTCGTGCTCGGTTTGGCTGTTTCCTCAAGTCAACTTTTTGTTCACTTCAAGCTTTTCTTGATAATTCTGTGGGATTTTTTTCCCCCCTCTTTCCTTTTTCTGGGGGTGGGGGGCATACCTAGCTATCACCTCTCTTGCGTATGACATGTTGTAGTGTTTTGCTCTTGTTTGAATGTGCTTTTTATCCCTGTTAATTTTTTTTTTCTTTTGATGTTGGCCTTTTCTCTCATAGATGCCAGAGAATGATGAGGAAGAGAAGACAAAGGACAAAATGAAAGCGGTTGTATGTCATCTCCTTTAAAACGTCCTCCCCCATTCATTTGTATTGATTCTTCTTTATTTCCCAACAATGCTAATTTCAACCATCTCCACAGAAAAAGACAGCCGCTGAGGAATCGCACCACAAAGACGACGAGGGAGACAAAAGTGACGCCGACGATATGATGATGGTTTGTCCGTGCCGAAGGTGCTTTTGGCGCTTTCCTCTGCGCGTTTTCAACGTTTGCCGTCTCTGTCCGAGCAGAGTGCTGAAGATGTCATCGCAGAGCAGGCCAAACCGCAACAAGACGACAACGACGACCCCTTTTCTAACCTGAGCAAGAAGGAGAAAAAGAAGAAGAAAAAAATGGTGAGTTAACCTCCCGACGCGTGGAAACGTCGAGTCGCACGATACCGGTCCGGGGTGGCCAAACGTTTTTGTTGGAGGCTCGCGTTCAAATTCTTCCACTTGAATTCATAAAACGTGCCAAAATTAGTCCAGCAAGCGGTGACACCTTGGCAACGTTTTGGAGTCGCTTTGGAAACGTGGCTCATAGCGGCTTTCTGCTAACGGTGACGAGGCAAATTGTTTTGGATTTTTCAAGATGCAGCTTAGGAACCAAATGCGCAGTGTGGGATTCCGCTCCCTCCGTTGCTGAGCGACGCTACCGATGGGCTCGGTACATGCTCGTCCATACGGGGAACCGGTTGGTTGCGTCCCCCGAGGTCCGTTGTGACGAGGTTCCACTGTAGTTCGTTTGTATCTCGGCAGATCTAGAAAAGCTGTTGCGAACGTGAAAGCAATTAATGAGTCGTCCAGCGTCCTTTCTCCCTCTGTGTTCAATTGTGTCGCGTCGATGTTTCCAGATGGAGTATGAGCGTCAGGTGCGATATGATGATGGTTTGTCCGTGCCGAAGGTGCTTTTGGCGCTTTCCTCTGCGCGTTTTCAACGTTTGCCGTCTCTGTCCGAGCAGAGTGCTGAAGATGTCATCGCAGAGCAGGCCAAACCGCAACAAGACGACAACGACGACCCCTTTTCTAACCTGAGCAAGAAGGAGAAAAAGAAGAAGAAAAAAATGGTGAGTTAACCTCCGACGCGTGGAAACGTCGAGTCGCACGATACCGGTCCGGGGTGGCCAAACGTTTTTGTTGGAGGCTCGCGTTCAAATTCTTCCACTTGAATTCATAAAACGTGCCAAAATTAGTCCAGCAAGCGGTGACACCTTGGCAACGTTTTGGAGTCGCTTTGGAAACGTGGCTCATAGCGGCTTTCTGCTAACGGTGATGAGGCAAATTGTTTTGGATTTTTCAAGATGCAGCTTAGGAACCAAATGCGCAGTGTGGGATTCCGCTCCCTCCGTTGCTGAGCGACGCTACCGATGGGCTCGGTACATGCTCGTCCATACGGGGAACCGGTTGGTTGCGTCCCCCGAGGTCCGTTGTGACGAGGTTCCACTGTAGTTCGTTTGTATCTCGGCAGATCTAGAAAAGCTGTTGCGAACGTGAAAGCAATTAATGAGTCGTCCAGCGTCCTTTCTCCCTCTGTGTTCAATTGTGTCGCGTCGATGTTTCCAGATGGAGTATGAGCGTCAGGTGGCAAGCCTCCGGGCCCAGAATGACTTGGAGGGAGATTTCTCCATTTCCCAAGCCGAAATGTCCTCCAGACAGGCCATGCTCGAGAACGCTTCTGATATCAAGGTTACTCTTCTCTCGATGAATGCTGAAACCATTGGCTTTCTGAAATTGGAATGAGCTTGTGCTAGATTTGCCTTGAAATTGAATTTCTTACCTCATTCCGAGTCCTTTTCTGTGTTTCTGCGAAGCTGGAAAGGTTCAGCATTTCTGCCCACGGCAAAGAGCTTTTTGTCAACGCCGACCTCCTTATCGTGGCAGGAAGAAGATACGGTTTGGTTGGACCAAATGGGTAAATTTAAAATTTGGTGTTATTCAAGCATGATGATCTAGGTGGAAGCGTTGGGGTTTTTATTTGGGGGTGTGGGGGGGTGCTGAGGAAAAAGCCAGGTAAGGCTTCGACCGAAGTCAACCATAAGTAGACGAGATGAACGTCACAGCGATGTGACAATAAAGAACAGCGACTGCAGCAGCCGCGTGACTGGATGCCGATTGGCTGCTTAACAACTGCTCAGGTCACAGAGTTGCCGCAGCTGGTCGGCGCTCTTCCGCTAAAACATTGTCGACATTTCAAGCTTTGTGCTTCTTGCCAGGCGCTTGTGTCGCACACCGCCGTCTTGTTTTGCCACAAATGCAGTTGTCCTGGAATGGAGCCTGGTAGCCGTGCGCATGCATCGCATGCATCGCATGCATCGCTAACCAAGGAATAGTTGTGAATTTGTAAAAGTGCGGTAGAAATGAACCATCTAGCAGAACCGTGGCAAGATAGCGTGAAAAACCAAAACAAGCCGTAGCCCATCCGCGTCGACCCGTGAGCATCGGTGGGCTTTGGTCTTTGGCATTCCTTTGCACTGCGTCGCCTTGGTGTCGTCATAAAATGAGTTTCCGCGGTTTTCTTCCAGCAAAGGGAAGACCACATTGCTGAAGCACATAGCCAACAGAGCTCTGAGCATTCCGCCCAACATCGACGTGCTGCTTTGTGAGCAAGGTGAGAACGTTGTCGCCGCGCCTCTTTTTTGACCGGCCGCTCAACTCCACCATTGGCACGGCGCTCACCTGTACGCGCGCACTCAGAGGTGGTGGCTGACGACACGCCGGCAGTTCAGGCGGTGCTGAAGGCCGACACTCGCCGCCTGAAGCTGCTGCAGGAGGAGAAGCAGCTTCAGGCTCGTCTGGAGATGGGAGAGGACAGCGTGGCGGACAGACTAGACAAGGTGCGACAGTTGTACCGCCATTTCCAATCCGGCTCAACGTCGGCGGCCGGCCAGGCCCGAGCACGGGCGGCGCGCCTCCCCCTCAGCTCGGACTCATCTGGCCGTTTCCTCTTCTGTCAGGTTTATGAAGAGCTGAGGGCGATTGGAGCTGCGGCAGCCGAGGCCAAGGCGAGACGAATATTGGCTGGCCTGTCATTTACCCCCGAGATGCAGAACCGAGCCACCAAAAGGTTCTCGGGAGGTTGGAGGATGAGAGTTTCGCTTGCCAGGTAGACCTGACCTCACTTGCTGAGAACTGATCAGCGGTTGCCCAGTCGCCGATCGTTCCTCGTTGACGCCCGCCACACCCGCAGGGCTCTGTTCATGGAACCCACCTTACTGATGCTTGACGAACCCACCAACCACCTGGACCTGAATGCTGTCATCTGGCTCAACAAGTAAGATGAACAAACGGATCTTTGGACAGTTGGCACAAATGAAAACGGAGTGCATCCGTTGATTTATATTGTTTTTATTTATTTTTTTGAATGGAGGGCGGGCCTGCAAATGGGCCCTCGGGGCCGTAGTTTGTCAAGCCCCGAGTGGGCCATTTTCTGGTCCTTTTGACCAACGCTCCCTCCCTCCCTCCCTTCTCAGCTGCCAAAGATCTCTGCTCATACCCATCTTTGATCCCTTCCAGCTACCTTCAAGGCTGGAAGAAGACCCTGCTGGTCGTTTCCCACGACCAGAGTTTCCTTGACGACGTGTGTACCGACATCATGCACTTAGACAACCAGAAACTCTACTATTACAGAGGCAACTACTGTAAGTCTCTGGACTGCAGCATATCACTTGAAACGCGCATGGTTAGGATCCCGTCTTTACCGATTGGCTTGAACGTTGCCTGATGGGAAGCGACTCGGGCAGAAGCCAACCGAGAGTCTGAATGGCTGAGAGAAGACGGGCTTGAATCGGGCCCGGCGCCGGGCCGAATGAGACACGCAGCTCCGCTTTCTTTTCGTAGTGACCTTCAAAAAAATGTACGTCCAGAAGCAAAAGGAGCTCCAGAAACAGTACGACAAGCAGGAGAAGAAACTGAAGGACCTGAAGGCCGGCGGCAAGTCCACCAAACAGGCCGTGAGTTTGGGCTGCCCGCCTCGCCGCGTCCTTCGGTTCAGAATTATGAGGAGGGGGGGAGCACTCTGGATGACTTTACGCGTCTGTGGGACTGCGGCTTTCAGGAGAAGCAGACGAAAGAAGCGCTGACGAGAAAACAACAGAAAGGCAAGAAGAAGGGAGGGCAGGAGGAGGAGAGCCAAGAGAGCACCGAGCTGCTCAAGAGGCCCAAAGAGTACACCGTCAAATTCACCTTTCCGAACCCTCCTCCTCTTTCGCCGCCCATTCTGGGCCTGCACAGTAAGAGGGCCGTCCTTCCGCTGCGTTTCACACGTTGGGGAAAAAAATAAAAACAAACAAATACAATGGAGAAGGGGGGGGGGCGATCCCAAAACAGCAAACGGTTATCGTATGGATGAGATGGCGACATACATTTTGGGAAATGCTGGAGTGGGATGTAGAAAATAAAATACTCAACGTTTGCGGGGGCGGGAGCTCAACTACAATCCTCCACATTTGCTTCATCTTTGTTTGTTTTAAATTCCAGGTGTTGATTTCTGCTACGAGGGTCAGAAGCCACTCTTCAAGAATGTGGACTTTGGAATTGACTTGGAATCCAGAAGTAAGATTGCAACAACCGCTTGATCGTGAAGCCGATGTTAAAAATGGAGCCAAAAAAGAAAAAAAACAAAACAAAACAAGTTCCGATGTCAGATATTTTTCTCCATTTCACTGCTCCTCTTCTTTCTGACCACATCTTTACCCCTCCCCCATCCAGTTTGCATCGTTGGCCCGAATGGTGTCGGCAAGAGTACGTTGCTGTTGCTGCTCAACGGGAAACTCCATCCTGTATGTGTGTCCATTTGTTGAAGTTCAATACGGTCATAATTGCTGTCTCCAACATGAGTGACACTTTGTTGTCTTTTACAGACCAAAGGCGAGATGAGGAAGAATCATCGATTGGTAAGTAATAGCTTGAGGTTCAATTTTACATTGCTGCTACTTTTGTTCAATCCAGGCTTTGGCCGGGGGTCATGCTAATATAGCTCCGCACATGGACAATTCAACTGGGGGACGTTGGGGGGGGGGCGTTTGGGGGGACTAGATGCAGGTGGGATATGCGTGAATATCGTCGGGCAAAAAAACGCTTGAGTGCACCTTCAACGCGGTCTTTGCAATTTTACAGTGCGCGTGTTGCTTGCTTGCAGAAAATCGGCTTTTTCAACCAGCAGTACGCCGATCAGTTGAACATGGAGGAGAACCCCACCGAGTACCTGATGAGGAACTTCAACCTCCCCTACCAGGACGGCAGGAAGTGTCTGGGGCGTTTTGGCCTGGAGAGCCACGCGCACACCATTCAGATCTCCAAGTTGTCCGGTATGAACGTGCAGAAGCGCTTGCCCCTGACACTTGAAATTGAACTCCAATCGCATTGGCCTTCAGTCGGGGTGCAGGTTGTGCCCCAAGTGCACATTCTTGGCGTTTATACTCGCTTACTCCTTTTTTGGCAGGGGGGGTTCAGAAGGGTGGAATAGCATTATGTACGAGTCTCCATCACCTGGCCAAAAAAAAAAAAAAAAATGCAGCTCTGGTATTGTGTAGGCGGGCCGTAGTTTGCAAGACCGCACAAGAGCTCTGATGGTTTGTTATTTCTCTGTTGTTTTCCCAATAGGTGGTCAAAAAGCAAGAGTTGTGTTTGCTGAACTTTCCTGCCGACAGCCGGATGTACTCATTTTGGTAAGATGGATTGCGGTCAGTGACGTTGAGCCGAACGTTCTCTCTCCGGCCGAGTATCGTTAATTATGGTCGGTGCGGCCCCACTCGTCTCAATGCGGCATTCCCATCCATATTACGTTGGCGGCATATAAAGTGAGCACCAAAGTCCGCCCCTTTTTATTCGGCTCCATTCTGAAAATGACATCGGTGCCTTTTGAAATGTTGGCCAAAGATTGCAGTCGGGAGTGACGTCACCCCCACCCCACCAAACTTGGATTCAAGTCGCCCTGGTTGAGCGAACGAGTGTGTCCTCTTTGGCTCAGGGTAAACGGCGTAGCAACTGGAAGAAAACCGTCACAAGACAGTTTGAGATATGAGCGCGTGGATTTTGCTTTGGTGATCTCACTCGGGCATGTCATTTGTTTCCAGTTGACTGTGTCAGCACGCAAGAGAACCTCAACCCCCTTCCCTTCAGGCTGGGCCAATTTCAGCCGTGCACTGACGGCGCCTTTTCCGATCGCTTCTCGTGCTGCCAAATGAAACGTTTTGCCTGTCTGCCCCTTCAGGATGAACCCACGAACAATCTGGATATCGAGTCCATTGACGCTTTGTCCGAAGCCATCAATGAATACAAAGGAGGTAGGTGGAAAATGCCGGGGGGGGGGGGGGGGGACATAGAGTCCAACCTGGTGGCGACATCACAGATTTGCGCGATATTTTGTCACCCCTGCGGGTGATTGTCCTAGGGTCCAGGATTTTTCTTTCTTTCTGCGGTCCTAACTATCCGGTGCGGTCGGATTTTGTCCTTTTTGGTGGCGGTCCCGAGCAGTACCGGTTCCATGAAATGTAGATTCAGGGTTCAAACGAGGCGAGCGCACGGTCAATTCTCCATTTTAGTTCGGAGGGGCGCACCAAATCGTGTCATCTCGTTCAACGATTGCCTGAAAGTACATCGGCAACCGCCGCTCTTTGTTTTTCCGCGTGGGTCGAGTGACCACCTTCAGCACGAATGAAACAATGGAGAGACGCGTACGAGTCTGCTACGTCAAGGCACCGCGGTAAGCAGAACAGGAGCGGTGCCGCTTGCTAACCATCGGCATGTCTCCTCCATGTCCTGCACACAGCTGTGATCATAGTGAGCCACGATGCCCGGCTCATCACGGAAACTCAGTGCCAGCTGTGGGTGGTGGAGGATTGCTCGGTCAACCAGATCGACGGCGACTTCGATGACTACAAGCGGGAGGTTCTGGAGTCCCTGGGCGAGACCATGGTCAATAAGGTGAACCCATGATTCTGAGGAGCAGTGGTGGGAGGAACGCGACGCCAAAGTCCCGCCGGACTGGTTTTGTAGCTTTGGGGGTTTTTGTTTTTTTTCTGGACTGTATTCTGTCTGCATAATGACCAGGTCATGGGGTGTAAACCCTGTCATCCAATCTTATAAATCCAGCCGCTGAAACACTTTATAATGTTGTTAAGAAAGCGATAAGATAAAGTCATTTTCCACATCTGTGTTTTATTGTGTTCTATTCACATCTGTGATTACAATGTCATGGATTCACATGATTTGACTATATCGCCAACGGAGCATGTAGAAATGGCATCACAACCCTGGCTTTAGATAAGCCTTATAAGTCTTCCTGACTTTGGCGACTTCGTTCTGATCCGGCGTTATTTCTCCGTACCATTTGTACCAGTCGTCGCCCGACTTCAAAGGCGGCGCGGGCGGTGTGAAGCCCACGGCGTGGTGGCAATTGGAGTAATCTTCACCTGCAAAGTCCACATAGGGAATCCGAAAGGGAAGAAGGCCTGAAATGACAAAGGTTCTCCCGATGAGCCTTGAGCTGCAGTTTTTTGTTTCAACACGAGGCTGAGTCCCGCCGCCATTGGTTGCGTGCGGCGACCAACATGGACTCGACAGGTTTACGGCATAGGTGTGCAACACGGGTCCTGGAGGGGTCGCTCTCCTGCATGGTTTGCAACACAGCTGATTCAAATGATCAGACCATCAGCAAGCTCTGCGGAAGCCTGATTTTTCAACCTGTTCATTTGAATCGGGTATGTTGCAATAGGGAAAGTTGGAAACATGTGGGACAGCGGCCCTCCAAGCTATTTGGAGATAAACATCCCCCCATGATAAGTGCAGACTTTGATTTGAAAATTGCATTTCAATTTGAATTTGATTGATTGCCCAGCCCCTAGTTCCACTTCTAATCCTTTTTTAAAGTGTTTGTGTGTGTTTTGTACATTACACGCAGTACCGTGATCTCGGGCTGTGTTGATTGCTTCAGTCAGCTTCTTGTGCTGTTTCATACACACCCCTTGGCAAATGACAAAAGTGAGCCAATTGAGGAGCTTCATTCCCAAGGAGAATTTATAGCATACCGCCGCGCCTTACCAGTTTGAGTGGGATCATACACCATCCCAGTGTGGGCGCTGACGAACTGCTGCAACAGCTTCACATTCTGTGAAAAATGAAAACGGAAGTCTGAATTTTGCTTGGAAACAGCTCTAGTCCAACTGGGCTGCGATATTACAAGAGCAAATCCGTCGTGAGATAAACACTGCAGTAGAAAGAGACTCCTACGCAGATGATTGGATTTTATCGATGGCCGAGCTCGCTCAAGCAATGTTGTTGCGTTCATCAGCACAAATAAAGACCCGACCCACCTGATGATGAATCACGACGTTTGAATCTCTGCATATTGGACAGGGGTTTCCGCATATCTTGTCTCCTCTCTAAACCAACAATTTTGAGACTTATGTGACAGCCGTGCACCGAAAATGACATCTTTCAAAACCAAGTGAAGAAACACTTTACAATACAGGTCTTGCGAGTCTTCTGTGGGGGGATGCCTCCTTTGTGGTTCCTCCTGTAACCTGCCCACACTGGATTGGCTCCATACCTCTCAATGTACTCTGTCGAGGAGATATGAGTCACTGGTAAATCAGAACAGATGTCTGAGCAAGAGAAAGCTTCCCCTTCGTGAATACGCAAGATACCTTCACTCTCCAGGTAATCCCATGGCCTGTCTTTGTAGCGAGAGAGTGCCTCGGTTTCCTGGCTCGCAGCAGCATCATCCTGGAGTGTCGCTGCTTGGCAGAAGGAGTGGTTTGGGGGTGCAAAGGGCCCAAGAGATGGACGACACCTTGCAGATGTCCCCTGTCAAACAAAGTGGAATTAATGATTGATTGAACACATGAGCAAATGTCACACGGGATAAACAAAGGTGGGTGAAAGGCTAAAATCGAGTTGTTTTTTTTTAATGGCAGCTCACTGGATGGTTTGAACACAAATTACATGTTGCTCCAAACAGCTTTGCGTCGTGAGGTGGTTAACTTTACATGCCGATACAATCAAAGACACTCCATCAATTAATTCCTATATTTTGAGGAAACAGAGAACATAATGACAATATTTGGGGGATCATTTTCACATTCAGAATATCGTTGTTAGTGACGCGGCCGGCCGGCTACTGATTAGCCTCGCTAAACATATAAAACTTCTCATTCGAGGAAAAAACAAACGGTCACAATACCTGCTAATGAAGAGCATATGCACCGTAACATATTACCTGACATTGTCGCAATGGATATAAAGTTGAAGGCGAGATGCGGATCACCGCCCTGACAACGACTTGGAAAGAGGCAGCCATTTTTCCTCACGGGTGAGGGTGAAAGGTCGGAATACTTCGGCTTCTTCCTTGAACGGTGGTTTGCAAATGTTTGATCGTACATTACCGCCACCTGTTGATCTGTTTTGATGACTGCAACCACGTAATTCTAAGTACCGGTAAGTACATTAATTTATCTAGTTCCTCAGGAATGAAAATAAAAGTCTCATGATTTATGATTTTCCATACTTTTTTTTGTTCAAATTCCACCTCATAATCTTTTTTACGTTCTCAACAATTTTGTGTGATTCTTCCATTGTTAGAATCAACCAAACTACCCCAAAAAATCGTATTTACTCGTTCTAATCCGTTTCCATGCCTTCCTTTTGGATGAAAGACATACTTCTACTTTTCTGCAAAGAGACTAACTCCCCGTTCAAATGACCAATGTGCTACTTTGTAAATTGTTTTGGGGTTTTCCGGAAACGATGAGCAACATCAGACGTTTTTACCCTCCTGCCCCATCATCCGCCAGTAATATTTCTTACTCGATCACGTAATGTAAAATAGAAGTGGACAAATTACACTACCCTGAGGAACCCCGTTCACAACCTTTACACCTTCTGAGCAACTAACTTATTTCTACTTGTATGTTTCAATTTCAAAGAAAATCTTTAATTCATTCACATCTTCCCATTAATTCACATTCTGCTTATCTTAATTATTCATACCATTCTTTCCACATCATTTCGTATGCCTTTCTAACATCACATCAAAGAAAATGCCAGCCACGGCTTCTTTTGGTATATTGTAGTTCAGGGGTCACCAACCCTTTTCAGAGTGAGAGCTACTTCATGTGTACTGATTGTGTGAAGGGCTACCAAATTGATACACATCTGAAATAACATCTGTACAAATTGCATTTCATAATATGAGAATGTGTTATTTTTAATACTTAATGATTTTAATTTTCAGGCTCTGATCATCTTAAAGATGTCTCACAGTACTGCCAGTGGTTTTTAAATCATAATTTCTACTAGCAAATCACAATCATAGCACTGGCGGGCTGTTGGTGTGGCTCTCATGGGCTACCTGGTGCCCACGGGCACCACATTGGTGACCCCTGTTGTAGTATTGCGGTTTTAGGGCAACCTCCAATGCACCCCCCCCTCCACAAATCACCACTGCATTATTTGTCAGCGTTCTTAACGTGCGTCCACCGTGAAATCTTCTGACAGCGATGACGTCATAGTTTGAGGGGGGAAAACGTTGTTATATGGAAAAAGATTTATTACGCCCAGAAATGTGCTTTAAAAATGTTTGCATTTTTGTTTAAAGCATATTGGTATATTCAGTACTTTCACTGTGACTGTTTTTGAATACGCCCCCGTGCATATAGCGTGTCATTTATAAAGCAGTCGCCATTTTGAAGACATAAAACAACGATAATATACGTATTTTACAACGTTGACGTGTCGGTCAAATGTGGAAACAGTTGCACAGATATGTACTTTTATCAATGGTCTACCGGATTACGTGAACGATCGGGTGTAATTTGATGGGACATCAACGCAATTGTCGAAAAATGGCGTGATTCGCCATTATGGCTTTGAACCACAAGACAAGGTCGTTCGTCAGCCATTTTGAGGCGATACCGAGGGCAAAACAAACGCTGCCGTGACGCAAAATACGTCACTGCGTATAAAAGCTAAGTCCCTCCTGTTCAGGCTCATTGCTGGATTTAGTCAAAGGTAAGTGAGGACGTCAAAACATTCGCGCATATATCTGTCGTTTTTGAAGGTGAAATCACCCCAGATCTTTGCACACAAACCCACGCATGTAGCTGATAACGCTTATGGACTTTTTTTTTCACCCCACTTCCAGTCTCAACTAAGATGCTTTCTTTTTTTTCTTGTGTACTTTACAGGTTTCAATTCGTTTTCCTGAAGACTCTGCCGTCGAGGACTTCGACCAACTGCTCAAATTGCTATTTTTTCTTCAAGTAATGGACATCTGATTACCATTTTTGCCTCCAGTTTGTTCTTGAAGGAAAAGGCTAGCTTTTAGCTACCAAAGCCCCACCCATTAGAAATTTTGAACCAGGTATTAAAGCCATCAAAGTTGACGATATGTTTTTTGTATAAACGAAATAAGTGCCCGAAAAAGCACAATGTGTTATGACTAAGACGCTGACAGCATACTGTTGACTTGTTAGTGTGAGTCCAAAATAGCCGCATTAGCTATCGCGCGGCGGCTGGCTAGCAGCCGCCGCGCTTTAGCCTAGCCTAGCCTATTGTTTAGCATGAGCTCACACATGAACATGGACGGTGACTCGTCTCCCGTTTCTTTGTGTGTGAGACGAGCTGGGCTAATAAAATTTGAAGTCGATAAATAGTGATATCTATAAGCAATCTGATCATAAAGATTGCGTGTTTGCTCAGGAGACTTAATAATCCAATGAAGCCGGACTTTTTTATTTTATTTTATTTTTTGCCTGCCGGGGTTTTGTAGGGGCTGCTCCACGGAACCGAATCGCACCGCAATCTACACATAAAGATTGCATTAGGCCGAGGATCGATGGACGTTTGACGAAGCACAGTGAGGGCATTGACGATGACGATAATGGCACAATGGGGCTTCCACAAGCCCCGCGCCACGCACTGGGCAATCTGTGGATAAAGATTGCGGGATGACCGAAGCCGAGTGGTCTTGCTCGAAACACAAACACTCGGACTTGTCAAATTAGCGGGCAATTGGCTGACTCGCCGACTGGTGGCTTTTTCTTCGGAACATTTTGGGAGTTGTCTGTGTATCGGCAGCCGCGTAACGATGCTTTTCAGCTTACCGGCTCGCTACTGCTCGCGCTTTGTTCCAAACGTCATGTTTCATCCAGCGAGCCGAGCTACCGCAGCGTCGGAGGGGTTAACACGAGGAGGGCTCTCATTGGCGGGCCGCCTTACTGCCCCGCCCCCTCGGCCCTTTCAATTGCAGTCAGCCTTTCTTCTGTCTTTACGTAACCGAGGGAAAATCCGGCGCGATAGTACGCACCCCCCACCTAAAAAAAAAAAAAAAAAAAAAACAACCCGAGATAGCAAACCTTAATGATCTGTTAGTGGCTAATGTCGATGTCATTGTTTCTGCTATTATGTACCAGTGACACACCAAATGATTTGTTTCCCATTCTTTCCCAGTCGGACAATGCGGCGGGGGTCTTGTTTGAGACTGACCTTTTGTGTACATGTGTAACAGTTGTGCCACTTACAGGCTTTGAATTATTTGCAGTGTTGTGGAGTTCTGAGACTATATAAAGCTTCTACTCCAACATTTAAACGGGTAAGACCTAACTGATTGCTCACACCATGGATGAATGAATAGCAACTCGGGGCAGGATCTATCTCGAAATGAACAAACGATACACCATCCAGTCTGCCACTACCTTGCAGTTCCTAGTGTTGATCTCATTGTAGATCAGTCTCCTTTGTGATGCGCATTTGATGTAATGATCCAACACGTGTATATATGATAGTTGCTCCATGTACAGTGCTTTGTATGCAGCGATGGCTGTGTAAGTGTTTGAAAGTGCTCTATAAATACAATTGAGTTGAGTTACAGGCCGCTTGACAGCGGGTACCTGCGGACACCCAAAGGAATCCGGGCATGACTGGTCCTTGTCGAGATGTCAGTAATTGCTTGTGGAGTTGCAAAGAATGTGGAGCAGGTGCGCCCAGGAACCACATTCTACCGGTTGTTCTGGAATGGAGACATTAGCCAAATAGGATGCTTTCAAAAGACCAAAATGCACATTGTTGTATGAGTACGAGCATGAAATTCATGCACTTTGAAACATTTGACTAATCGGGACTTTCCTGTTCAGGTATTCAGTTGCAGTTTTACACAGGGATCTCCACATACATGTGCCGTTAGAGTGTTTAATTATTGCCGGCAAATATCCTTTGATGTCTGCCTCGTCCATGGGTTTGACGTCAAGACAAGTCGGTTGTGAAATGAACATTTGCCATGTCATTGGATTCCATTTGCGGGGTTTTGACATGACCGAAATACAAATGAGAGGTGGATGAAGTGCAAATACCTGTAAGGGGCTGCAAATGGGGTCGCCGCACTCAATGTGGCAATCGTGAAATGTCGTTGGGCCGAGCAGAAAGGAGCACATTTCCCAGGGAAGAAGAGCATGTCAGACCAAATGCCCCGCAAGGAAACATTCCGGCATGCGCGGGCAACTCTGCTCAAGGATGGGGCATTACCTGCCAAATTATTTGCTGATGAGTCATTTGAAATGGTTGGCGCGCATGCTACCGAGGTGACCGCTGCTGATTTGTGTTTTCCCGTGTTGCCACTCGGGGGGAAAAAGCTGCCTTGATTCTGCTCGACGTTTGCTTGAGTGGCCCAAGTGAGAGCGGGCCACTTTTTGGGCGGTTTGGAGCCGGGTGCTCAACACAAAGCCTTTTTCGAGGGTTTCACATTTAAAGTGCTGTGTAGCCTTGTACTGTGGATGCATAGCAAGAACGCGCTTGCGTTCTGTCGAGCAACTCCTCGGCTGTATTGCGGGCAGCCGAAATTTGACGGTCGCCACCACGTTCATGCCCCATTGTTGAACAACCCCAACCCCCCCACGCACACGCACACGCGCACACACTTGTGTCCTACCGCCATATGTATTGATTGCTTGCTTGCGCTTTGTTTTTCAGACATGGAGGGGGTGCCGGTGGACCCCAAAGAGATTTTGAAGGGGGTGGAGGCTCTATTAGGGAAGGATGGGGGACTCTGCAGCTTGGAGGGAGTCCCAAAGATGTTCAGGTGAGCAATTGAAGCCCACCCTTTGATCTTTCCACTTTGCACTTAACAACGGCGTCCTCTGTCTTCTGCGCAGCCTAATGAAAGCCTCTGCCAAGATGGTCAGTCGCTGCATGTACTTGAACATCCTCCTTCAGACAAAATCGCACGATGTGCTCAACAGGTAAGTCTTTGCCCTTCTGGAGACTGCTTCGTGTTTGCCGTTCCAAAGCCTTCAGCCGTAGGGACGAGGAACTGTTTCTTTTTAGCCACCCACCATCCGAAACCGCCTCAAAGCTTCGTGCTTGCGTTTCCCTGAGGGCCACATTTTCTCCCACCTTTTGTTTAGGTTCATTCGAGTCGGTGGCTACCGGCTGCTGAACTCGTGGCTCACCTACTCCAAAAGCACCAACAATTCACCTCTGCTGCAGCTTATTCTGCTCACTCTGCAGAAATTGCCCCTCAAAGTGGACCATCTCAAACAGGTACGCACCAAAACCTGGCGCCTTTGTCGCATGCTTTGAACGCGAGCCCCTTTTTACTGCTGCCGATAACCGTCAAAGAATTCCAATACGGTGTTGTCTGGAGAGTTGTGTTCACTTAGCTCGTCGTCCCCTTTGCCACTCTTTTGTTTTCAGAACAACACAGCCAAGTTGGTGAAGCAACTGTGTAAAGGCGCAGAGACGGAAGGTCAGGTTCCCCCCGATCCCCTCAGCCCCCCCCCCCCCCCACCTCCTTGTGTTCTACGTCTCGTTTCAAGGAGTTTGGACTCGATGCAAGAATCTCATTCCTATTTTAGAATTGAGGAAGTTGGCGTCTGTGCTTGTCGATGGCTGGATGGCAACCATTCGCTCCCAGAGTGTATCGAGCAACGCCAGCAGCCCGGCCGGTATGGAGACGTTTGCCGTTTGCTCGGTGCCGCGATTGTGTTGAATGTCGGCTCAAAATGCTCTGCATTGATTTGCGTACAGAGAAGAAGAAGAAGAAGAAAGAAGATGGCAAGGTCCCGCTCAGAGAGGTGAAGGACAAGAGTGGAGAGGAGGAGAAGAAAAAAGACAAGGCGAAAGCTCATGCACCCAGTCATGCGAAAATCCGTTCCATAGGTAGGCCGTCGCAAGTATTGATGGACTTGCGCTCATTTTGCTGGACTAATCCAAAGGCTTTCGTAGGTCTGGAGATGGACGCTCCGAGCCCTGCCCCCGCCAAGAAGAGCCCGACGGCTCCCCAGCTGGGTGACAAGTACAACATCAAGCCGCCCGTCCTCAAACGGCTCAGGTACTAACATTCCCCGAAGTAATAGGAGAGAGGTGCTGTCCCAAGTCTGTGTGCGTTCTGCTCTCTGCAGTTATCTAGTGGTCAGTGACAATGATGCCTTAAATTGTGCCCCCCCCCCCCAACCCCCTCTTCCAATCTGTGCAGTTCTGGTCCCTTTGATAATCCTCCATTGGAGAAGAAATACAAACCTCTAAACACGCCATCCAACTCGACCAAAGAGATTAAGGTCAAGATCATTCCAGCACAGCGTGAGTGTGCACACACACGTCGAGAATCACAAATGTCAAGCGGATGACAACAATACTAGCGGCTGTTGCAGTTTGAAATAGTGGACATGAAATAGGAGCGCCGCTGTTGAATGTCAGCACCTTTGAGTGAACGTGATGGGCTTCCTGTCTGCAGCCATGGAGTGCACGGGCTTCCTCGACGCGCTCAACTCGGCTCCGGTGCCTGGTATCAAGATCAAGAAGAAGAAGGCTGCGGGCAGTTCACCTTCTCATGCCAAGGCCGTGTCCCCGACCTCCAGCAAGGTAGCCATTCGGCGAATAGATGGCCAAGCCAAGTCAGCTAACGGAGAGCGAGAGACGCGGGAAAAAAAAACAAAACAAAACAAAAGGCCCGCTCCACGTGTCGTAAGCGATTATTTCTTGGTGTGGTGTTCGGTGAGCAAAAAAAAAAAAAAAAGACATTCAATTGGACGTATTTATGACAGAGGTCATTTGAATCCTCACTGCCATCACGGTTGTATCCTATAAGCGCCTCCAAGGTGGAAAGGCATTCGCGGTCATCGGTTCCGTCGTTGTCCACCGTATGAAGTTGTGACCGAGTCGCGTGGCGGCTGTTCCCCCGCATTACCGACCTTCTCCTTTTTGGCTCTGCAGACAAATCCGTTTGACGGCAAACCATCGACGTATTCTTCATCCTCTGCCAAACCGACCTCCCCGGAGACTCTTTCTTCCAATCCCCTTGATGAGAATCAGGAGTCGGATCGGCCGGGAACCCCCGTGCCATCGGAAGACCCGGACTCCGCGGACGCCGGTGAGAACGCAAAGTCGCGGCGCAGTCCGAGAAAGATGGCCGCCGACGTTTCCTTCTCACACGCGGCTGGCTGCGTCTTGTGCAGGAGACAAGCCGAATGCGCTGTCCGAACCTCGTGGGGAGGAAGACCTGACCAAGAAGGGCAAGAAAAAGAAGACTGTTCACTGGGCCCAGGAAGATCATCTCAAGCACTACTTTTATTTTGACCTTGACGAAACGGAGAGAGGTATGAGCTCGGCCAGAAAACAAGTGTGCGTCAAAGCGTCCTGAAAACACGTGCGGGGACCTGACTCTTCCCTCCCCTAGTCAACGTCAACAAAGTCAAGGACTTTGGCGAGGCGGCCAAACGGGAGTTGATGATGGACCGGCAGACGTTTGAGATGGCCCGGCGGCTGTCTCACGACACGATGGAGGAGAGGGTCCCCTGGACGCCCCCCAGGCCCCTGACGTTGCCTGGCGGTCTCGTCGTTGCCGGCTCAGGCAGCACGGAGAAGCTGACGCAGCGAGACCGGGAGATGGGCATCTTACAGGAGATCTTCCTCAGTAAAGAGAGGTTGGGCCCTTTTGTGATCACAAAGAGATTGTTGAGTTGTTTTTTTGTTTTTTTTAGGCCGTGAAACCTTTTTGATTAGTTTGCGCGGACTCCCGTAGCCCGACGGGTTTATTTTTGTCCACGGTTCTTTGGTTGATGGCGGTGCAGACATTTGAGGTTTTGTAAAGCGCACCTTGAAGTGGTGCGCTGAGCGGGGGCTTGGTGGCGGTTTGTGACCGGCTCTGTCCTCTTGTGCTCTCTTTGCCAGTGTGCCCGACAGTCCCCATGAACCGGACCCGGAGCCGTATGAACCCATGCCCCCACGGCTGATTCCGCTGGATGAGGTTGGTGCACAATCCCACAGGAGCGCTGCGCTTTTGGGGCTAAAAAGACCAGCTTGCTCCATTTGTGTCTGGTGTCCCCGTAGGACTCCTCCATACCGGACGATCACTACGCCGAGCCCATGGACACCTCTCAGCAGGTTGCCACCGTGGCCCAAAACGAGGGCTCCAAGCTGCCGCCTGTCCTGGCCAACCTGATGGGCAACCTGAACAACAATTCGCGGAGCCCCCAGACAAACGCCGTCAACAATCCCGTCACGCCGGCCGTCAACGTGCAGGAGCTGCTCTCGTCTATCATGGTACGCGACTTTCCCGCGGGCCGGGGGTCATTTGTACGTGAAGCTTTGTCGTCCATTTGCCTCGGCTCCATTGAAGCCGCTTTGGTGAAAGCAAATCATTTAGTATGGGTTTCGAACATGAACGGTCATGGTTCATGTGGACACGCTAGCAACCCCCCCACCCCACAAAAACATATTCATATTGAATATAGAAAGACGGGGGGGTGAAGAAATGAAAAGTCATTTCAATCTAAGCAAGCAAAAGAGGAGCAGGGTTCAAATGAGTCAGTTCGTTTTCAGCTATATACGGGCCGGACCTTGAATCATTTGGGAACCCAAAAGTTTCCCTTGGGAGAGCGACGCCACTCCCGAATCCAGATGCTTTCCCTGAGGCGGTTCGAGTCCTCTTGGCGTTGCCGTTTGGGATCCATCACCCCGCGACAAACGCCACATTCCGTTTTTTCCCCTCTTCAAATTGTGATTGCTCTAATCACAGCTTCATGTCTGCAGGGGGCTTCCAGCAACCAGTGCACCGAAGACCTCATCAAGCAGCCTGACTTCTCGGATAAAATCAAGCAACTTCTTGGGTCCCTGCAACAGACGCAGAACCACAACCAGGCGCCGACACCAGGTAAAGGCCGCGGCCTGCGCTGCTCCATCTCTGGCAAGTGGCCCCCGGCTTGCTGAAACGCCCCCCACCAGTCTCAATGCAGTATTCTGCTGAATGTTGTCATTTGTCAACCCGTTGTTTCCAAATAATCTTTGATTTCCTACGGTGCCGGATATTGGGGTCGGACTAAAGAGTAAAGATTAAAGATGAGCCTGCTGTTTCTCGCACATCCAGCCAACCCGAGTCTGCTGGGCCACGCTCCCATCAACAACATGAGCAACAACGTCCACATGCAGATGCCCATGAACAGCGGCTTCCCGCCCAGCCTGCCCCCGGGCGGCCCCCGCTTCAACCACCCGCCGCCACCCCCGCACAATCACAATCACGGGCCGCCTTTCAACACTGGCGGCGGCCCGCGCATGATGGGGCCGCCGCCGCCGCCGCCGGGACAGGGCCGCGGTGATAACGGCAACTACTGGGGAGATGACACCATGAGAGGGGGGCCCCACCGCGGGGGCCATTTCCACCGGGGAGGGAGGGGCCGAGGAGGAGAGCCGGGCTTCCGGGGCCGAGGACGAGCGGGTCCGAGAGGAGGACACAACATGAATGGTATGTTTTGGAGAACATCCCGCTGTCCGCTGAATTCCTCCAACTCAATTGATTTTGTCTCCCCTCCCCCTTCCCCTTCCCCTTCCCCTTTAATAGACATGTCCATGCGGCCCGTTTGTCGCCACTTCATGATGAAGGGAAACTGCAGGTACGAGAGCAACTGCGCTTTTTACCACCCCGGTGTAAACGGACCTCCTTTCCCCCCAAACAACCAGCATGGGCACTAGGCGGCGCCCTCCTCACGCGAGTCATCAACTTGACACTCAACAGAGGCTCTTGCCGACAGTTGGACTGAAACGCTGCTGGCTTTTGCCACGACGTCTGCCCGGCGCTGTGTACGGACACAGCAGCCCTCTTCACTTTCTCAACTCAACTGTATTTATAGAGCCGTTCTGACCGCCGGTTGACGCGGACCGCCCGAGTCTTTAAAAGGACACGGTGAATGGAGATTGATTACGATTGAGCTTGAACAACTCGAAGAAGCAAGGGATTCTTTTTTCTTTTGTTTTTTTTGCCCTCCCTCCTCCGCGCTGACAGCAGACGGTAAGCGATTGTGCTCAAGCTTATGAAGACCCAGTGTGTGTGCTCCCTTCAAGTTTGTCTCTGTGGCTGGCCAGCTTTTTTTTTTTTCGGGGGGGTGGTGATGATGATGATGAGTCTGCCGGTTCCAGCCAATGAACTCTGAACTCCGTCTTAACCTTCCGAGAACGTCAGTATTATGATGAAGCATTCTGCGGGTCAGTTATATGGTGTGTTTTCTGTGAAAACAGTGACCTTAATGTCTCTCTTGTGGGACCGTTTTGTTTTTTTTCCTCGTCCATGTTTTATTTTGATCCAATGTTGATAAACAGGTGCCCTTTTTTTACAACTGCTGCTTTGAATGTTTGTACTGTAGGGCTGTGTACAATACATGTTCATGCCGTCATATTTTTCAGTTGGATTATTTTGTACACTATTAAATGAATGTCAAAATATAATTGTTCTATGATTCATTTGAAGTTTGGGAAATGTGCGTAGCAGGACAAACATGACACAAACATTCTTAACGTTTTTCAATGGTGTAAAAATATGTCGAATAAATATTCACTTTAAACACATCTGCCAACGAAGATTTGTGTCGTAGCCTGTGTCACACACGTTTCTATTAGCAGAGCAGGATGCCGGGCATGTGGCTGTTTTAAGAAAAAAAAAACGGTGCTTCATGGACAATTCACGAGGGTACGAGGTATGCATAACCACTCCCCCTTTCCACCAATCACAGCAAGTTATCATCATGCTCCACCACTTTCACAGCTATCAGCGAATCATCAGCCATCATTCCAGCCAGGCCACACCCACTTTCCTGGATTTTTGTATGGAAAAAAAATCCAGGAAAAAAAATTTTGGGAAAAAAAAAATTCAGAAAAAAAAGTTTAGAAAAAAACTGAAAATAATTTTGTTTTTTAAAATATACATATATATATATATTTAAAGTTAGATTGTGGTGATGTATTTAAAAATGAAGTTGAGTTGAAGTGTTCTTTGTAATCAAGCTTTATTTCTTTTGCAGAGTAGACAATCACAAAAGCAGGAGAAAAAGTTGCAAGTTGGATGGCAGTCTGCTGCTTGCTGGGCGGCAAAGTGGTCAGCTCTTGAGAAGAATGTGGGACAGGTGTGTTGACCTGAGGGGAAAGGCATCCGTGAGTTCCACGCAAGTCAATTTCTTGTGGAGACAAAGATGTGTTGAGCATGAAACTTACCAGGGAGAAAGACTGTTGGGTCTTTCGAGAGCAGGAAGCAGATCATGTTTACTGCTGCCTGGGGGAGAAAAAAAAGTCAAAAAAGTAGTCATGATGGTGCATTGAAGGAGTGTAAATGTCTCCTACCTTTCAGGCGGGCCCAAAGTTTGACTTCAGCACCTTGCGAATAACAGGAAGAAGAGCAAAAAGTGTTGCCTGCAGGTCTGTGCTCGTCGGTGGACTCTGGCGATGAGCAAGTTACTCCCTCTTGTGGCACGGAGGACCCAAGAACAAGCTTCCTTCAACTCTGAATAATGTAAAGAGGCTTGTTGAAATTAGACTTCTTACCAACTCAGTTCGCCTGATCACCACGCGAGGTCTTTTACCATTCGGCCATTCTGCTGCGAAAATTTCGAAATTTTTATATGCAGTCAAAGGCAGCCGACCACACGAGGTTTTGAAGGTTTAAAAAAAAGAACATAATTGGTGAGACGGTTGGCGTCTCTCGTGGGCGATGTGACGGCACTCCAACCTCACCCATAACCCATCGAGCACGCCAGTATTTCCGTCTGCCTGCCTTCAGAATGCCATCCTGAGATCAGGAGATAGTTTGCAAAGCCAACTTCGTTTTCGATTGAAGACGAGTTGCACAATGAGATCGTGTCGTTTTGTCATTTTGCTTTCTTGGCCACGGGTGTCAAACTCATTTCACATTGTGGGCCACATACGGCCTCGGT